GCAAAACCTGCTTCGTGAAATACCCCCCTGAATATACTACACATGTTTTCTTGTATTATTATTATTATTTTGTTATTGTTATTATTTATATGTTTGTTGTTGATGTTATTATACTTCTATATCTTCTGTGCTATCTTCCTTCCTGTATTTCCAATGTAGGAAAAAAAAGGGGGGCGGGAAAAAAAACTTGCAAGAAATCGTAAGACAGAAATCCACACGTCAAAACCCTTTGCTAATTTATTTGACATGTGACATGATCCTTATTTATACATATAACAAGTTGTATAAGGTGTATGCAATATATTTTATTTCAATAATCTCCTTATTAGCAGTATCACTTTTTCCTTTTTTTTGTCCTCCCCCCCACTGCCCCCCTTCTTTGATGTTTGTCCTGTTTCTGTAACTGTATTGTTGTTGTGTGTTTGATGTTCCCACTTGCGCCTAAAAATAAAAATAAAAGTTCATATTGTTATTATTATACATAATGTACATACTAGGGCAATATCAATTATTTACTTGTTGTTAAATGCTTCCTTATTCTTAACTGCTTACCAATTGCTAAATACTCACTTATTGTTAAATGCTTACTTATCTGGTGTTGTCATGGAGCTCTATGATCTGCAGTACATAATTGTCCCTCACTTTCCTGTAATCGTGAAAAAGGAACAAAGCTGAGCACTCACTGTGGTAATCCAGGAGAAAAAGACTATAAAGACATTGGGATTATTATAAATAGTAATGGGGGATCTTGGCATTTTGTGTAAGAACATAAGAACTATACAAACGAGAGGAGGCCATTCGGCCCATCGCTAGGATTACGTGTCACTCTGTATAACGTAGGATATACCACCACTGGGGGGCGCGGAATCACATGACCTCCACAATAGCAGTGGTGATGACATTAATACAACATCGGAAAATAATTTTAATAATCCAGCCTTTTATAGCTATTTTTTTATACTCTAGAAAACCTGACTATATTTTAAAAGATTTGTGTCATTTGTTAATACTTTAAAATGTATGAGAAGCAAAAACTGTTCATTGAAATATACAACTTGAGTTTTAGATAGCATCACCTCTGGATTATGTTCATATACTTTATTATGTTTATGTATGTATGAATGTGCAGACATTTGTGTATATGTACATACATCTACATTCTGCAGTGGTTGTAATATTTTGTTTAAACTGGTCTTCAAAGTATAAATCCCGTGTGCAATTCAGTACATAACCTATGGTATGCAATCTGCATATTTATGTTTGATAATTGTATTGAGTATTTTTTTATTTTTTTATTAACAACAATCTAGCCTACCGAGCTCTCTTTTGTAGCATCATGTTCGGACCAGGAGTGGAGTTGCACCCAGATGCAGTTGGCATTTTGTGTTGCAATGATGTGAGGGGAATATAGGGCTCTCACAGGAACAAAGAGGCACACTTAGATTCACTCAAAAATATTTATCGAAAGTGATACAAAATGATTTTATATCATAAGCAATAATAATCAAACAAGTACAAAATATTGCATATGAATTATGAANAGAAGCAAAAACTGTTCATTGAAATATACAACTTGAGTTTTAGATAGCATCACCTCTGGATTATGTTCATATACTTTATTATGTTTATGTATGTAGGAATGTGCAGACATTTGTGTATATGTACATACATCTACAGTCCTGAGAAAGTGCCGGGCGATGCACGCTGTATCCCACGGCTGAGCTCCGGTCAGCACTGAGATCTCCCCCTTCCTTTATACTAATTTGGGCCCTATGTGTGGGCAGGGGACGAGCTGGCCAGGCTCACCCCTCCCCTCAGGCAATGCGTTCTCAAATTTCCAATCAGCACATTCCCATCTTCCTCAGGATGAGGTAAGCGTCCCACACACCGATCGCTAGGTACGGTTCTAATCAGAAATAAGACAAGTGTCCTTGGTCAACGCTTTCCCGTTCTCCTGAAGACGACATAAGTGTCCTGCACACCGATCAGTGGCGTGCAAAACATACTGGGCCACCTGTTCTCTTCTCAGGAAAACCCCTCAGAACAACAAAGTAAGCGTCTCTGAACAGAATGAGCATCCCGTAAATCAGAAATAACAAGACAAGCGTCCTTGAACAGAATAAGTATCCCAGGACAAGAATTTTTAGGACAAGCCTGGCTCCTTTCATGAGAAAAGTTATTCGTGAGAAACAAGTTATACAAGTGATCAGTAAAAAACATGTTTATGCAGTTCAACCTTGGCACAATAATATTACACCGGCTGACATTTAAAAAAATTTTGTTAGCTGATTTAACAAAAACAAGTGCATGTTCTACAGTTTGTCATGTAGTTTCAGAATATGGCTTCCAATTTGCCGCCACATGTCTGGTTTTGTCACAATTTACAATTAAAGTTCAACATAAATTACACAAAGCCAACATCAAATTTGGTGTATAGTATCAAATGACATTTTTCAAACACCCTTCATAAACAAACATTTTTAGTATATTTAGTTTTGCTCCAGCACGTCTGGTTTTTCTGTGACTTCGACTTAACTTTTTTTTCCCCATATACAATACATTGTATACCTAATAATGTAATTTTGATACCAGTCATATAAAATAACCTGCCAGACTAATTTTTTGTACAAACTAGTCAGCAGGGTTTACTGGCAGCTTGCAGTTATGTAAACTTACAGGTATGCTGCTGCAGGTCCACTGATGCCGACCTTTTGTATGCAGAACTGTGGTCCGCCTTCGAAGCATAAAAGATTTTTTTTTTCAGTTCGGCAGGTGATATCCAGCAGCTCATAAAAACTTAAAATTCAAACCAGTTAAAAAAAAAATTCCAAAAGAACGTAATTCATATGAACATTTACTTTACTCTCACTTCTGCCTTCTACCCTTGGGGCCCAGCCAGGCATAGCCTGGGCCCCGGGGGAATAACAAGGGTCTGCTCTCCTGTGGGCCCACCGCCTGCAGGGGGAGCCGTAGGGGTCAGGTGCTATGCAGATCGCGGCAGTTGAAGGCAGGGGCCCCTACAGACCGATCGTCACGTATCAAAACTGGATTGTAAGATGACACAGCTACATGTCTACTTAGATGAGCAGAGCTTGAGGGGCTCTCATTAAGATGGATGCCAAGGCCCCCATTAATGACTCCCCATACCACTCAAATCTACTAAAAATCTACAAAATATACATTGTCCTAAATAATGTTTTTTGTTCCCATCCAAAAGGTTTTCATAATCAGTGCTTCATCCACATCATATTAAATGTCTATAATAAAAACTATTTCCGTATTTGACATGTTCATTAAATAGATTTCCCGAGAGCTTACAAAGTGATAAACACCAGAGAATAGTATTATAGTTAATAAGAGGGTAAACTACCAAATCCCACACTAGGTAAAAACAAATTAAATACAAATTCTATTTAGCAATATGTAATGAGTCACAAAGCATCATGCAACATGAATCTTAAACAGCACTCCATCTTATATAAATACAAACCATGAAAGCATTCTGTGATTCAACAATAAGTTGTAGGATACTTAATTTACTCACAGATTAACTGAATCCCAATAAACAATTCCATCCATCCATCCATGTTCTGTAACCGCCTATCCTATTGAGGGTCGTGGGGGTCCGAAGCCTATCCTGGAAGCTATGGGCGCAACGCAGCGAACAACCCAGGATGGGGCACCAACCCATTGCAGGGCACACAATAAACAATTCAAATCTATAAACACATTGTGTTCTTCAAGGAATTCCACCATGGACCAAAGAGGTGTCTGACCAATCAGATTACTATGCCTGGGCAGGCACTCTACAGGACTGACATTAGCGAATAGGAACAAAGAGAGCAGCCAGCATTACACACAGTCAATAGCTGATAAAAGCAGTCCAACCAATGTGCTGATAATAGGCTGATTTTGTAGGTTTTGTAGCTTTGGGGGATCAGAATTATCTACCTTTGCCATTTTTTGTACAGATCCCAATAACTCTGTGGTTTATAAGCTGAAATGTATTTGGTATTTATTTGGATCAGAGAATGAGGAATGACAAAACACAGGCTGTAATTACAGGCTGGTTAATCGCCTATCTGTCATTTACGCTGATTCTGCCTCTTGACTGCATCATAACGAATCACTTAGCTACCAAGCTAACAATGTCAGCGCATCGCTAATCCGGCCACAGCTGCTAACATTCCCACCTCTAGGGGTCATAGTCAAAGAAGATGCTCATTCTGGCATTCTTGCAAAAAATGTCCATCATGTTCTTGTCGTGGGGGGTGAGGCTCCAGTGGCGCAAGGCCGCCACCTGCAGAGCGGGAGGACGTGGCGTGGCATTCAGCAGGGCAGACAGCCAGGCGGAGGCGGGGGCGGCATCCGAGGGCCGCAGGCTGACGTCCAGCTCTGTTAGCGCCACCAGGCTCCCCAGCGACTGGAAGAGAGGCAGCCATCCTGCCCCGCCCACACCGCCATTGTAGGACAGGTCCAGCTGCCTCAGGTGACTCAGGGCCTGGCGCCTTGCCACAGATGCTGCACAACAGAGAGAGAGAGAGAGAGAGAGAGAGAGGGAGACTGATGAAACAGGGCCGCCTTGAATCCAGGAAGCCGGAAACTAACACTGCGCTCGAGCCCCACCCAGTTGCAGCACGTCCTCCGCCGTCAGGCCGCAGCTGCTTAACCTCATCTCCAGCAGGGCGGCGCCTGCGGGCAGGGCCTCCAGCAGCGAGTTCAGCTTCCCCCCCACGCACTTGTTCCATGACAGGTTCAGGGCCTCCAGCAGGGGGAGCCAATGCGTTGCCATGGCTGTGAACACAGTCTGTCAATTGACAACTTGTGCAAAGTCATGTAACAGGCACCACTGCCCCCTGCAGGGCACACAGTGCAGCCCTGTGACCCTATATCCAAGAGGCAGGCCGGTGTAGGTCCCATTAATGGGCCTTTAGGCTTCGAAATAGTCAAAGATTAGCAATTAGCTCTTCTTAACTAATACATGCATATGTTATTAACACAAACAATCATGGCTAAAATACCTGCTTTAATATGAGACAAACAGGAAGTGGGGAAACCAGCCACGTGTAGCCAGGGGGAGTAAGATCATCTGAGCGTTATTATTTATATGGGTTTTTAGTTATATAACGAGCTTAACTGAGTGGTTGACAGCGTACCGAGAGCCAGATAGGCCTCCTCCGTGAGACAGCAGCTACTCAGGTTAAGCCTCTTCACATTTCCCAGTGGGATGCCAGCAAAGAGCTGATGGGACACGCCCCCAAGCTTCTTATTGGAGGATAAATCCAGCATGGTGATGTCACAGAGGGAAGGGAGTGCCTGAACTGGGGGGGGGTGGAAAGACAAACACATACAGGTTTGTAATTATATTTTTGTGGGGACTCTCCATTCATTTCTATGGGGAAAACGCAAATCTCAACATGATGACCGTAACCCCTACCCAGCCCTAACCTTAACCATAAGTTACCAAACATTTTTAGTTTTTTTGATTGCATTCACAAAATGTAATATAAACATAATCCACACACACACACACACACACACACACACACACACGCTGCACGAAAAGCACCCAGGAAAGTCACATGCACTGCCAGACTAGAAGAACCTGGTGCTGCATTATTGTGCATTAACATGTATACCCCCCCCATACACCCCCAGGGCAGTGCTCACCCAGAGCCTGCACATCATCCTCTGTCAGACAGCACTCGTGTACATCCAGGCAGCGCAGCTGTGCGAGGCCCCCCAGCTGGGCCCCCAGAAGGGCCAGCCCCCCAGACACCCCCCTGTTACAGGACAGATCCAGCTCCTGCAGGGTGGGGAGGAACTCGAGCACACCACCTACAAAAATGGGGGGGCTTAAAATGTGGCTGCTACCTGTGCTTTTAGGGGCTATAAAACACGTCAGAAAAACCCACCCAGCATCTCCAGGCCCTGGAGCTCCAGTCCACACCCCCGAAGCCGCAGAACCCGCAAGCCTGGGGTGTCCCGCAGCTGGGGGACCAAGTTCCCAAGGGCCCCTCCCAAAAGCTGGTTAGTGGACAGGTCCAGCAGCTCCAAGCTCAGCAGCCTGGAGAGCACAGCACCTGGAAAAGAAGGCAGCCTTCAAACCCACATCTAACCCTGGGCCAATCAGGAAAGCAGGTGGTTCATTTTAATTAAGCAAATGCAATGGAACAGAGCCTCACCCATGGCGCCCACATCTGCCGCAGTGAGCCCACAGTCCACTAGGTGGAGCTCCTTCAACCGGCAGCCAGAGCGGAGTTGAGCAGCCAGGAACTGCAGGTGACCCCCCAGCCCAGCGTTCCAGGACAGATCCAGTACCTCCAGCAGGGGGAGCTCTTCCAGGGTCTCCCCTGCGATATTCACATTTCAGACAATAAGCATGTGCATGACGACATGACACCTTGCAGCAGGAGTGTCAAACTCCATTCCTGGGGGGCCGAAGCCCTGTGTAGCTTAGCTCTTTCCCTGTTCCCACACAAATGATTCAGCTCAAGAGCTGTGTGATAATTAGCACAAGGACCTGAATCAGGTGTGTTAAGTGAAGGGAATCCAAAAACTGTGCAGGGCTCTGGCCCCCCAGGACTGGTGTCTGACACCCCTGCCTTACAGGGTTAAAACAGCCTGGCTTTAACCAAGAAACCATGTTAACGCATCAGCAAAAAAGACTAAGTTACATAAAATAATTATAAAAATATCAGAAGTTATTTAAAAACCAAACTATTTCTCTGGGCTGATTTAACTTTGGTAACATACTGATTCTGGTCAGAGTTTTAAAGCTAAGAACATGACCACTTCTGGTTCTTAAATTATTAATGGTGTATGTGTTGCAATTTTCAGCAGGCATTCTGTGTGGACACCTCATACCCAGGGCAGCAAGGTCCTGCGTGCTCAGCCTGCAGCCACTCAGTCTCAGTGCCCTCAGCCTGCACACATGCTGGAGGTGAAAGGTCAGTGCCTTCAGCGACCCTCCAATCAGATCATTCCACGAGAGGTCCATCTCATCCAGGCCGCTCAGGAAGGGCAGCAGGGTGGCTGTTTGAGAAGAGCAGGGACCCGCCACAGTCACCTCTACCTCCACATTTACCCGCCTCCCGCTGTTTCCTGTCACACCCCGCTTACCCACCCAGCTCCACCACATCAGTAGCTGTAAGGTCACAGTGGCTCAGGCTCAGGCTCTGGCTGTCCGGCTGCCTCCCCAGTCTCTGCACGAACTGCCTGACACGCCCCCAGCCCACCACGGAGCCCGGCTCTGTCTCTAAGGGCTCGCTCTCCCCTGGAAACCACACCCACAACAATGACGTAAGACACTCATCACTGCAGGGTGGGGATCATTCGCAGTACGTCTTAATGATCCCCTCTCACCTGTCCCGGGGGACACATCCTCTTTGTCCTCTCCCTCCTCAGAGACGCCGGACTCCTTTCTATCCTCGCTTTCAAAGGGGCGGAAGAACCGGGAGACAGACGGCTTCTGCAGACGCTCGCTGAAGGACTTCTTCCTGCGGATCTGGTTCATGATCAGATCCAGGGGGGACCGTTTCGGGGTTTTCTGTGAATCTGAGCGAACAAGTGTGTAAGCGGCGGCCGCTGAGCCCTTTAAAAAAAAAAATCACATGCTGTGATTTCACCTGTGTGCAATGTAAGCAGGACGCAGAATAGCGCAGCGTTTTACGGATTAAACTATAAACACAGCCTTATAACCGTGTAAGAGCCCGGTTTCTTTATTCCTTTTGGACGGTCCGTAATACGTACCTAGTCTCTCCATCATGCACTCGGCAACACCTCCCGGGAGTTTTATAAATGCTGGGAGCTGAGAACGAGAAAGGACATGATCGCTCAAGACCAAGTTCAGCGAGTGTGAACCCAGTGCGGATCCCCTTACCGAGGGAAAACCAGCGAAAACTGAACCTAATCCCAATAATTTACTCGCCTTTTAACTCGATGCTTAGTTTTCCCCCGGGAAACGATGGCGGCCGGTGTGGGGAAAGTCCTGTGCTAACAGGTGATTAGATCCGGGGAGGGAGGACCTCCTCCACCGCACTTTGAAACTGCGCATTGTGTGGACTCACGGCTGCACGCACTTTCTGTTTGCTTGAATAATTAACGAGTCGCCGTGACAACATGGAGGAAAACGGCTGAGGAGATCCGGACGTCGCAGTCACACACCCCCCATAAACCCTGTAATGCAGGGACGTGTCATCGGAGGTGAGCACCTGCCTAGAGGTCTGCAACAGGGCGGGACGCGGCGCAAAAGCATGCGGCGTGGGTCTACATTTCAGAACTTCTTGCGGGAGTGGGCGTGAGTGGGATGAAAAATCAGTCCCGCGCAGACCTATAGTTGGAATAAACGCAGAGCCGCGCAACAAATTTCAATGTTTCCCTATATTTCTCTCATTTTGACTGTGAAATGTTTCTATTGAAACTGTTTAGATATTTTTTAATTTAAGTCTGTTGCCTAGTTAGAAACGTTTTTGGTTGTATTTTTTTGTGGAAAACTGGTTAGCTAAATCTACCCTTATATAAAAGGCATCTTTAATTCGCAGCCGGAGTCGTGCCCACATAATATAGCCTATATTTAATAAATTCCTGTATGTCAATTAGGCAACAAATAAATTTGGTACCTTATTTTTTATAAGCCAAGATATTATAGCATTTAAAATGTGTCCGGTATTTTTGGCCCACCCTATACTCCACCAGCCTTGCTTGCGGGATTCAGCAGGCGGGAGCGGGACAAACCATAACAGATGCGGGCGGGAGCGGGACAAACCATAACAGATGCGGGCGGGAGCGGGTCGAAATATTACACATTTCTGTGGGAGCGAGCGGGCGGGAACGGGATGAAAAATCAGTCCCGCGCAGACCTCTACACCTGCCAGAGCGACTGGAAGTGCCTCCTTTCCTGAGCAGACACATAGCCACGTAATAATATTACGGGTTGGAATCCCCCCGTTTAATCCTCCATTTAATCCTTAGTTTGATATGAAATTACGTGCTTATTTAGCATAAAGGTCACAAGTTCACAGTTCCTGTTGAGCAGTAGGAAAACAGCACACGACAGTGGCCATAGGACAGGGGTGTCAAACTCCAGTACTGGGGGGCCAGATCATGGTTAGCCAATGCCTTGTCCACACGTACACGTGTACTGTATATTTTAAAACTGTGTTTTTCCTCCGTTTTAAAAAAAATCCCTGTCCACACGAACATTGTCTTCTAAAATATTTACATCCACATGAAACCGCTAAAATGGGCTGCCAAGAGCATGCCAAACCAACAGGCGGCATTATAACTCTAACCGTACTGCCATGTTAGCCAATCAGAAGCCTAATTGCCAGTCCTGTTAAGTTGAAAACCATGGCGCACATTCCGACACCTGTGTTGATCAATATAATGCGAGAGTGACAACATTTAACTATACACATGTAAGAAGTCCTGTCAGCAAGGTTAGCACAAGCACTATTTCGGCTAAGTCCGCCATTGCTCAAACTCGCCTAATGTATACAGCAAACAGCGCACGCTCTGACATTAAACAAAGTGGACAACGGCGCACAATCTGACGTTTCGAGCCAAAACCTCTGTTTTCCCTGTCTACATGTTGACGCTACATGTTTCTTAAATTCTTTACTGTGGATGGAGTTTTGCAAAAGCTCCGTTTTCAGTGACCTAAGACTCCGTTTACGTGTGGACAAAAGCCCAAGACATATAGAAAACGGTACGTTTTAAAAAATACCCATGTACGTGTGGACAAGGCATAAGTTCTTTCCCTGGTCCACCACAAATTAATCAGCTACAGAGGTGTATGGTAATTAGCACAAGGAGGTGCAAGGAGTTAAATCAGGTGTGTTAAATGAGGGGAAACCCAAAAATGTGCAGGTCTCTGACCCCCCAGGAATGGAGTTTGACACCCCTGCCATAGAGCTACAAGTCAAGATGGCCTAACAGGGGTAGCCAATCTTACCCGCAAAGAGCCAGTGTGTATGCAGGTTTTTGGGATAACCTGTAGGTCAGCTGTTCAAACCCAAGTGTGGGGACTCTTCAGCCAATCACTCCTCTAATTAGTAATCTAATTTGGGAGTTGCAGCGAAAACCCGCATACACACCGGTTCTTTGTGGGTAAGGTTGGCTACCCCTGCGGCCTAAGAACTCGGAACAAGGCACTAGGTTCCTGAATTCCGGTGGGAAGGCGCCTTACAATGGCGAGGAGGAGGCTGGGACTGGAACTTGCATTAGTTTTTTCCTCCCAAGTGTTACACAGAAATTTCAGTCCTTCTTCTTCCGCACTTAAATGGAAGTTGCATCATACAGGTGTTATCAGTGCATATATTCTTGCAGCTGATGATCAGTCTGCCGAGGCCCCTGCCTTTGCCTGCCACCCAATCTGCACTGCACCCGACCCCCACGGCTCCCCCTGCAGGTGGTGAGCCCACAGGAGCGCAGACCCATGTTATCCCTTCAGGTTATGGCCAGTGCTCCTGCCCCAGTCGAGGCCCAGGTCCCCCCAGTCCAGGCGGGGTAACATATTCCTTAGTTTTAATCATCGTAAGGGTTAATGTGAGCCACACTTAGTCTGGCCGCTCATCAAAAGGAGCCAGTTGAGGTGGTTTGAGCATCTATCTAGGAGGCGTCCTGGGCGGCTCCCATCGGAGGAGTTCCAGGCAAGTCCAACCTGGACGAGGCCCCGCGGCAGACCCAGGACACACTGGAGAGATTATGGCGCCCTGGTATTCCCCCAGAGGAGCAGGAGGAGGCGGCTGGGGAGAGGGAGGTCTGGGCATTTCTGCTTAGGCTGTTGTCCCCTTGACCTGACCCTGGATACGCAGCAGAAAATGGATGGATGGAAATTGTTGCTGCTGAGTTACAACCTGTTTTTCTTTCTGCTTGTTTCTGTTCTGCCTAAAAGGTACATATGTATGAACTGTCTCTTGTCAACATGTGCAAAATCAAAGATCTTTATTTGTCACATGCAGTCGTGCTTGTATAACAAAATACATGCTTGTTCTAGCAGATTCACCAGCTATGCTGTGTAGATAGGGAATATAATATACTGGGTATATCTAAGTATAAAAGAATGTAATAAAATCTACACTAAATATAAAAGTATAAAATAACTGAGTGAATGGGGCAGATGTGCATGCTGTGTGCAAAAGTGCAAGAGCGGGTAAGAAGGAGGGGAGACATATAAGGATAGAGATGGAGGATTAGTATGAATGTGAGTGCAGTGGTAGACTACCCATATGTGCTGTTGCTGAGAAGTCTTATTGCTTATGGATAAAAACTTCTGAAGCCTTCAGTCTGGCCTTTGAGGCAGCAGAGGCATCTCCCTGCCGTCAGTAGTCTGGACAGTTTATGCGTGGGGTGGTGGTCCTGGTGGCCTGTGTACCACACCTTCTGGGGTAAATGTCCTGCAGGGCTGGTATGGAGTTCCCGATGGTGTGTTCAGCCGAGTGCACCACTCGCTGCAGGGCCTTTTGTGTCCATACCAGGCTGTCATGCTACCCATCAGGATGTTCTCTTTAACTCCAGAGTAGAGACCTTGAACCTCCTGAGTCACCTGAGGTGGTAGAGGCTGTTTGGCTCTGCCAGTGAGGAAGTGAGAGCTCAGGTGAGGTCCTCAGTGAAGTGGACACCGAGATATGCATTGAGTTTTGTGAATACAGATTGTCACTGGTTGCAAAGCATTCCCTTCTCCTTTGGTTTTACTAATGACGTCATCAGCGATTAGTCAACGTCACCTCGACACTCATAACTGTCGATTTAAAAAAAATCTTGTCATGCAACCCCAATTGCATAGTTTAGATTTATGTAATAATGCAAAAAATAATACATATAATAAGTCATTTCAAATGCTTTTCTTTCATTAACTGTTGTGTAGAAGGTTTCCCAACCCAGCACATTATCTGGAAGCCATGGCGACAAGGATATCCTGACCGAATGTAATCTCTGGCGCACAGCCAGCACTCGCTGCCCGCCTTGTCGAAATGACAATAACAGTTTGCCGGGTCATGTCGCACCGCCTTTGGCTGAGCCGAGACGTCCGCACTAAACGCGAACATCACATGTTAAAATCACTTAACTTTATGGTTACGAGGCCATAAAGCCTCACATATTTATTAACGTACATGTTAGGTGCATTTTTAACATTACTGTCCTTCATGGCTCCCTCGGCGCGGCTAAGACTCCACGTTCCCTCTTCATTAAGGCAAACCACGTTTTTCTCCGCGTGCAATTCAGGGTTACCAACGACTTCCGTTTCCTAGATTTCTGTCTTCAAGTTGAATTTGTAGGTAAGTCGATAAAATAATAATGCAGTGCATCTTAACAATTATACAGTAATAACTAACTCCATGCGGTACTGTACTGTACCTCGAGTCGACGAACCGTTTCAAGACACAGGGGGTAAAACAACAATCGCAGTTTCAGGATGTGTCCAGTTATTTGATAATGATTCTTTAAAGTGTTATGCGTAGACAGAGTCGGCTTTGAAATGCAGTGTCACCCCAGCTACAGAACACGTTAGAAAGACATGACCGCGGGACTTACGCTCATAAGTAGCGCTTGTGAAAAATCCAACATTGGAGCTATAGAAAAACAATATTTTATTAAGAGTTCATCTTTTATTAACTGACACCGGTAATACACCGAAACGGCAAACATCCAGGTGGTGCTCTGCGTAGAAAGGAAAGGCCCACATGAAAGGGAAGCGGCCCCCCTAGTGGATCGAGTTTTCCACTGCAATCGGGGCAGACGATCTTCAGACAGCAGACACGCCTGACACGCAAAACCACTTCAGACGGCTGCAGGTTCGAAACTGAAAGCACCACACTGCCCCCTGGTGATGCGCTGATGCCCCCACCACCTTCACCAAGGATGGTAGCTGATAACATTAGACCGCTGCCTATATACAAAGTCAATATAAATCTTCATCACTTTATATATTAAATATATCAAGGAGGCATTTACTTTATATGGAATCGCATTATGGCATCAATATATTGATTTTTCTTAGAGAATTTAAAGTAAAAAGTAATCACTCTTTTAGTGTTTGGATAAACTGTAAAAAGACAATAAGCACACATATTACAGCAGTAACGGGGTCAAATCAGAACCTGAAAGAATAATAATAATAATAATAATAATAATAACAGGAACAGAAAGTACCCCCCTCTCACTACTGGCTAAATTAAAAAAATAAAGGGAAGTCGGTGACAGTCCTGGGGGGTGAGTGATAGCTCAATAATTAAATCAATAATTGTTAATGACTGACAGCAACAGGTGCATCGTGCCTCATTGTGGCTCCACCCAGCCTTTCTGGGTCCTGAACCCACCAGTCGGTCACAGGCAGACACCCGCGTGCAGACGCAGCCGGGGCTGTCACCTGTGCAAGGCAGCTAACCAACAGCAAACAGAGCAGAAGCTCAGCCCTATAAGGCAGGCCACACCCAAACAGCCCCCCCCCCCCACCAGGTCCTGAACATGGTCCCCTTCCAGCAGCACAGTCGATAAACGTATCTCCTTGTACATCTCACCTTTTAAAGCTCACATTGCAAAAAGCCCGGCGTTACATCATTCTTAATGTCTGACTAAAGCACCTCCCGACATTTCATTTACCTGTTAAATCTGCTTAAAATCTGTCGGTAAACCCGAGACCGTGGCCTAAGCGGGTCTCCGGGAGAAGGGGGAGATGCTAACAGCATTGGTCGGTTTGCACATCTGTCCATTGCAAGTGTGGTGTCTCTGCCCTCCCAAAATAAACATAAGTACCACTGCGGACAGGAAACAAAACATTCCCTTGTGTTTTTTTTTTCCCCTTTGAAAAATGTGACCCTTCAGGAAACAATGACGGTGTAAACCACAAAAAAATGTTTTTCTAGAAAATACTGTGCAGTCTGTAGGAGAGGCTCCATGGAAACACAAAAACAGCACAGAATCGCGGCACTCCGGGGTGGGTGTTCTGCACTGGTGCCGGGCTCTAGCTGGGGGCGGGGCTGCCGGCAGGATCTGTCGGCCCAGTGACAGGGTGGGGCTCGGACAGCTGCTGGCGGAGCTGTGCAATGACACGTTCCAGTCGCTCACGGGCCTCCCTCTCCTGCCGCAATGCCTCCTGCAGCTCCTCTCGGTCCTCTTCCGCCCGGTCAAGCCTCCGTCGCAGCTCTGACAGCTGCAGGAAGAGGAGGCGGGGTCAGTTACCACGGCGACAGCAAGCGGGACTCAAAGGACATGGAAGGCTGTGTAAACCCCATGGATGCAGTTAGAGGAGCCTATGCTGCTGTGATTCAGTACTGGCTTGAGGTACAGCACAGTTCTACATCAGCAGCGCCCCCTGCTGCGTACCTGTGCTGCATAGTGGGCCTCTGGCAGTGACTCCCTGCTGTGGAGGCATTGACAGGCCCGCTGCCTTCGCAACTCTGATTTCTGCTCTCCACTCTTCAGGGTACAATCTGCCTCTTGCTCCGTCTGAGCGCGCTCAGTGCAGTCCGCCTCCTGCTCCATCTGAGCGCACACAGTGCAATCCGCCTCCTGCTCCATCTGAGCATGCTCAGTGCGGTCTGCTGCTTTCACTGTCTGAGCACGCTCAGTGCAGTCCGGCACGTTCTCTGTCTGAGCGCACTCGGTGAGGTCCGCCTCCCGCTCGGTCTGAGCATGTTCGGTGCAATCTGCCTTCTCTGCCTGAGTGTGCTCAGCACGGTCCATCTTCAGTGGCTTCTGCTGGTCCCCAGCTCCATGCCTGCGTAACCCCTCTAATTCCTGTCACACACATAGTGACACAGTGTCATACATATGTAGTGAAACACACACATGCAGTGACACAGTGATACATACATGCAGTGACACTGACACATACAGACAGTCACAGAAACACATATACACACACACACAGTGACAAACTGGCAGGGCAGCTGGCGGGCCTTTACCATCTCCAGCTGCTTGTGCTTCTGCAAGGTCCTCCTGAGCACTTCCTGCTGCCTGCTGTACAGCTGCACCATCTCCAGGGCCACGCGCTCCCTGTCCTCGACGGCAGGCACCGCATGGGTGCTCTTGCTGCGCCACATCTCCATGGCGACGGGCTGGAGCTGGCGCCAGTCAGCGTGCTGGTATGCAGCTTCACCATCTGCTGAGGCCGGAGACAGACAGAGAGACAGTGAAGGACAGAGGGAGAGAGTGAGGGAGAGGCAGGGAGGAAGACAGAGAGAGGGAGAGTGAGTATTACTGTTTTACACATAATTATTTGTATACACTGTATGAGTGTTACTGTGTGTTACTGTGTCTTATTAGGTATTACTCTGTGTTACTCTGAAACAGAGGAATACAGAGTAACAGAGGGTTATACACTCTGTATTACCCTGTATTACCCTGTCACTCGGTATCATTAGACAGCGTGAGTGTGTCACTGACCCACAGCCGGTGCTGGCGCCCCCTGCAGGCTGTAGTGCTGTTTCAGCAGAGCGCTCAGTACCCCCATGCCGTCTGGGGCCCCTGCCTTGCCCAGCGCTGTCTGCCCATCCTCGCACCTGTACAGGAAGTAGCTGAGGCACAGGGAGGATGCTGTTAGCATGGAGTCATCCCGAAGCCCCCCACCAGCGCCCTCGCCTGACACATGCCGGTAGGTACCTGGGTGGTGTGACAGTGGTGAGGCACGGCTCCTCCTTGACATCCGGGCGGCCTGCGGACTGCGGGAGAAGGTCACGTGACTGATCCCTCAGGCACAGCTCCCCCCACCTCAGCCCACCCCACAACCCAAAAAAAGGGGGCTTACCTTTTGGTCTGCATCACCATCATACAGCGTATGGCTGCGCTTCAGCTGGGCCTCTTCATCCACCTCTTCATCATCGTCATTCTGAGATACAGGGGGAGTCAGAGTTAAAAGAGCCCGGGGGGGGGGGGCACAGCTGCCCCCATGGAGAGCTGGGGTACGCCCACACACACCCTTCTCCCAAAACCACAACACAGACATGGCTGCCAGGACACAGATTGGGGATGCCGGCACATCCGTGCTCCCGCTAATCTTCATTTCACGATCATCCGTGATTCCCATGCACTGCAGAGCTCCAGTCTGTTCACACAGCCAGGCAATACAGTGTGGTACAACATGCTGATCTATACTGCAGCACAGCACTCTATACCAGGGGTTCCCAAACTTTTCAGCTCACGACCCCCAAAATAACCGTGCCAGTGACTCGTGACCCCCATTATCCTCGGAAGTGGTTAAAATATATGTTGCGTGCAATGGTGCACATGCGCCAATAGGCCTATCCAAACATGAGCATGACAACACAAAAGAACACAACGCTCTAACAACCATATAACTTTTTTTTTTAATTGTTACTCATTCGTTTCATTTTAACAAAAATAATATCCTAAGAATAAAGCGATGAAAATTACCTACACGTTACGTGCACATGTCGGAATGTTTAACATGCTGCTGTAAATTCTGCTGCAACTGACGCTATTGATGTGTCGTTAATCTGTCACCTCAGGGGTCGCGATCAAACGGAAAGAAAGGCCGATGGCTTTTTAATTTGCATATTTTTTAAAATGTAACTATTAACTACTAGTTTTTATCTTTTGTTAGTTATGGATAAAATGTTAATATAAAATTTTAAAAATGTTGATAAAATGTTATTTCTAATAGTTAAAAAAAAAAAATTTGATTTCTTGGAAATCATCTCGCGACCCCCCCCCTCAATGTCTCACGACCCCCCAGAGGGTCGCGACCCCTACTTTGGGAACCACTGCTCTATACCACAGCACAAAGCAGTGTTCTATACTGCAGCACAGCTCTTTAGTCTTTCTATAAGTAGGTGGGGCTGACAATCTTACCATAGTGACATATGCTGTTCCTGTTCCAAATACTATGCCACACACACACAGTTCATGTATTAATATATTTATGGGGATTCTCCATTTATTTCTCTGGGCATAACGCTAATCCTAACTATGACGACCTTAACCCTCCCCAGCCCAAACCTTAACCATAAGTAACCATACAAGACTTCTGGCTATTTTACTTCTTTGATTGCATTCACAGTTTTTTTCTATAAAATTGAGGTTTATATTGCGGAAACCTGAAAAATAATTGTCCCTCAAACGTTTTACCACATAGTGGGGACCCCCCACCCCCACACAGACAGACAGACAGACACACACACACACAGACACCTTTCCATGGACCCTGCCTTTCACTCTCATCTAAACTCATTCAGCTGTTGCTACAAAAAATGATTATGTTGTGAAGGGGTTGTATGATTATAGGAAGTCTGTCGGGTTTTGATCTCACAGGAATAAGAAATTACACACACACAGAAATAGCACAGACAGACAGACACACACACAGAAATAGCACAGACAGACACACACATACTGTACACACAGAAACAGCACAGACACACACACACAGAAACACCACAGACAGACAGACAGACACACACACACACAGAAACAGCACAGACCCGGAAATTCATTCTTGGCCAGCGTTGGCTGCCACCCAAACAGCATAAATGGAAGTAACCTCATACAGACACACAGACGGGCGTGTGACCGGGGCCACGGCGACAGGCGCGGTCAATTCAGGTGGGTGGGGGTGGGGGCGGGGGGCTGATAAGGTACCTCAGCTTCCCCTTTTCAAACTGGGGATAAACTCTGACCAGCTGGGCAGACGTCCAGCTCTGTCCAAACAGCGAAGCAGAGATGCCCAGCTGTCCTTCCTCACCAGCACATCCCTGAACAGCAGGCGCGTCAGCAGCGTGACAGAGAACAGGCACAGTGATGCCAGCGCCATGGACACATTGCTAAGCTAACCTCAAAGAGAGGAGGACAATAAACACCTCTCATGGATGGGGGTACTCAGGCCTCTCTGAGGGACCAATGGAGAGCCATGTTGCAGTGGCTGCTATACTAACCAGAGTACAGTTCTCCATAGGACCCTGCCATGTGACACAGGTCATGTGACCCAAGAAGTGTTGTTTCGTTCTGCATGGCCTGGCTGTTTAATGCCAGTTGGAGGATAGGGACGTATTGCGAGCTGGTTGCTAGGCACCCGGGGTCTGTGTGACGCCATTGGCTACCAAGGCTGGTGGGTGTGGCTTTGTGCAGACAGGCAGCGTCGACCTGACAGACAGTCTATTTGCTCGCCTAATACACAGAGCTTAAAGGACACATGTGCTCAGATGGATGAACGTATGCTCCACCGACATGCCACGGTAATCCAGTCTGCCGAGAGACATGGCATTGATGGAGAACCCTGAGACTCACAGAACTGGTTTGGTCACAGAACCTACATGACGCCGCCATCCGTAGATAACAACAGGCCGTGTGCATGCTGTGGGGTCACATCATGGCCCAGAGACGCAACCCAACTGGCGGCTCCTGCCCCCCAAGCCCCCTGGGGAAACTGGACTCAAGCTGAATCAGACAGTTAAGGGTTAAAGCCAAAAACGTTGTAATTCACGTTGTTGGGTTGAGTCCTGGGTAACAGAAATAATTAAAGGTTTCTGAATGGGTGGGACAGTGGTGGGGTTTGGTTTAAAGCTCTTATACCTACACCCGCACCCCCATGTGTTTTCTGTCTCTATGGTACAAAGCCACAGATCCACTTCCTGATGACAGCAGCCGTTCGGGGGACAAGATGAGGCTAAACTGCCAACGACAGCAAGATGAAGAGGAGGTGGTAGATGGAGAAAAACGTCCCAGCAGAGAGTGGAAAACAGAAGAAAGCAAAAAGGAACAATAGGCTGACCTAGAGAAGGAAAGGAAGAGGGGAGCAGGAAGGAGACTGCGCTGAACACTGGAGAAATTTCATTAACACTGCAGGACGCTGCAGAAATTCAGTCTGCACTAAAGAAGAACACTAAAGAAATTCCATTAGCAATGGAAAAAAAATCCATCTGCAGAAATTCTGTGTGCACTGGAGAACGCAGAATATAATCCATTTACACTGCATTTCAGTTTACATAAAGCTGGGTGTGTGCATGGCGGTGTTTGCCTGTTCTTTTACCTCCATGCCTCAGTCTGTGTCTGTCTGTCTAGAGGAACAGGAATGTGGTTTTTCAGCCTAAGACGAGACACCAGAAAGCATTTCCGCATGACTCTGACTTAACCCCCCAACCAGCATCTACCCGTTATCAGAACAGCCACAGGCATACTTCAGGTTTTGGTACCACAGAAAGTCAGTACCACTGAGCAAAGCCAAACCACTGGCCATTCCCACCCTGTTAGTCACAGGAATAAATCAGAACAACCTTGGAGGCAAACAGGCAGCAGCTGGGGGACAAGGTCACGGTGGCAGGAAGACACGTCAAGCCCACAATCCCCTTCTGGCCTTCTGTGCTGCCATCAGTTTGCCCACAACGCTTAACGCCATGAAAAGGCATTCAGTAAAAAGACCATTTACTTATTATCATTGTTCATTTCACCAAGGGACTCAACTCTTAAAATTCTCTGATATAAAGACAGACAGACACAGTCACTAAAAGTACAAATGGCTGCATGCAAGGTGATCATTTATGCGACAGGACGCGTGAAAACACACCTCTTAATTCATTGTTACCCTGGCTAAAGCATGGCTTACAACAGAAGAAGCAAGGAAGGGACCAACTGTTAACCCCGCCCATTCCGGCAGCTGCACCCATATCAGCCCCACCCACTTCCGAAGCCCCACCCCCATCTGCCAGGCAAACCCATTCTAGCAGCCAGACCCCCCTTGTCAGCCTCATCCCCCATCAGTCACACCCAATCCTGAAGCTCCACCCCCACACCAGCCCCAACCTTCCCCACAGAGCCGGCAGGCCCCACCACTCACCGTGTCATAGGGCCTCTTGCGGTTCCTCTGGCTGTACTTCTCCTTCATCTCCTGCAGCAGCCTCCTGTATGGCGCCTCCTGTATTGTGCCCAGGTATTTGCGGCCCAGCTGCAGGTAGCGCGGCCAACGGGCCGAGTCGAAGCCCCAGTGGCAGGTGCGGCGGTCGGGGGGGCGGTGCGAGTGCATGACGAAGCGGCACGGTGAGAAGAGCAGGCCACACTGCGCGCACTGGATGCAGGAGGCATCGGGGTGCTCATAAAGCAGTCCTGCGAACAGGCCCCGCCCCTTGCCCAGGCACCGGTGCTCCACCTGGAAGGTGGACCCACCCTCTCGGAGTGGGAAGGGCACTGGGGGGGTGGTGGGAGGCGCAGGCCGACCGGGGCGCAGCAGAGCGTTGCAGAGGCGCTGGGCGTCGGTCAGCGTGATGAGGCCGCAGGACGGCGCGTCCGGGGGCAGCACGCCGGATGCCTTAAGTGCGTGCAGCTGGTTGCCACGGCAACGTGAGCAGTAGACGTAGAGCTCATCGCAGATGCCGTTGATCTGCTGTAGTGAGAAGGCGCGCAGCACTGAGTTCAGCACCTGCGGCAGACAAAGCCGCTTCTCACCGCCCACCGTGAAGCACGAGATGGGCTCCCCCTCCAGCACCGTGTGCTTCAGCTCTGCCGAACTGTCACAGGGCGCCAGCAGGGGCCCGGCCGGTGGTGGCGGCAGGGGGGGCAGCGCCACTGTCACCTCGTCCCGCCCCCCGCGTGCTGAGAAGGCCGCCGGCCCCCCCAGCGAGCTCTGACTGCTCAGCGTGAACTGGGCCAGTGTGTGGCGGATGCCTGGGCTCAGGTCCAGGGCGTGGCCCCAGCCCGCCTCCTCTTCCTGCTGTGCCTCCTCCTTCTCCTCCAGCTGCTCCCTCTTGATCTTGGCACCCCCTGGGGGGCCCCGGTGCTGTTTTAGGCTGATCTCTGCTGTGAGGCGCTTCTTAAGGGGCACCTCTGTGACCCGGGTCCGAGACGGGCGCCTGGAGCTGCCCCTGGGCAACGGCACCTCCTTGTGGCTGGGCCTCATACTTACCTGTGCACTGGCCATTGTGCCGTCACTGGAAGGGTTTGGAACTCTCACTGAACGAAAGACTTGAATCCATGCATAGTTGAGTCTGGTCTGTAAAAAGCCAGTTTCCTGTGTGAAGAGAACAGTTCAGAATGTGAAGCTCTCTCTGGCTCCAAACCTCCCAGACAACAATATGCAGATAATGTTCATGTCATCTGTCACACTTCCCCAAGTCTAGTACGATTCAAGTAAAGAGGTATTCATTTGGTGTCTTGGAGCTGTTCTTGACAGGTTAATACTTGTTTGTCACCTTTTCAGCACCTTATAGGCGACTTCTCCAGATCCGTTCCCAGAAACATGCTGCACATCTTGCGGCTTTGTTAAGTAACCGCTTGGTGGGCAGATTGGCGCAGCCGCCAGTGCCGCCATTCGTGCTGGGTGCGGTAAATCCGAGGGCGGATCGTGCGCGCTCTCCGCGCTGCCGCCGCCACCGCCTTCCGCGCAACCAACACGAGAAAAAAAAGGCGACAGGAGGAAGCGGGTGACGGGGAGACGCCGAGCCTGCATCATGACCTGACTGGGTATCTCCTACGTGATATCTAACCAAGGAAAAGCACAGGATCAGCTCCGGGGCAGTATCTCATGCTGTAAACGCAACCTGGGCTCAAAAACCCAAACAGGCTCGTTTCAAAAGCGCCATAAAGTAAAACCACAATCCCGTGTGCGACCCGTGCCAATTGCTTTCATCAAGGTTAAATAAACAGGGCGGCTTGTATATGGACCCGGGTTCAGAATATTCCTAAATCGCCAAACAGGCAGGCGGTGCCAGTATTTCATTAACAGCAGATGTCCCTGCTCCATTCTGCGGCCGAGGAATGAAACACCCACGGCATCACAGCAATTATAATTACAGTTTATCTGGACACGTATCTAAAAATGCTCCGTTAAACTCCCTGATAAAGTGAGTTTGCCAAAAAAACAAAAGAGAAATTAACGCGATCCATATGGCCGGTTGCACCCGAGCGAGCTATCCAGCCGCTGAGACAGCTGCGTCCACCGTAATGATCCTGAGAGAATAATGAGATTACTTTGGGTATCCTTAGGGTAGGGGGTAGGGGGATTTCTCTCCTCGTCTATTCCGATCTGCGTTCGCACGCATACGATGATGGCACCCCCACAAACCCTTGCCCCTCCCTGTACCCCTGTATCGCCCCATTCCCCTCTCCACCTCCATACGGACAAGGACAGCACGCTGCCGTCCCCCCCAGCGGAGCGCTTCCCCCGCTCCGCCACCGTGGCCGCATATTCAGTATAAATACCTTCCCCGGGACTGCCTCAGACCACTCCAACCCATACACTGAACCGCCTATAGAGAAAATATCACCGGGCGGGGCCGGAGTTACAGTTTTTAAACAGTAATCTTCAATAAAATAATGATTTTACGTCGTAACATCTAGTCCTAATATAATTCATATCAATGCACATACAAAATAACCTCGCAACAACGTTAACTCCTCCCAGATATGAAAAAAAATTAAACGGCTCGGGAAATCCGAATTATCCTGTAAATGTATAGGAAAGATACATTCATAAGAAGGAAAATCCTTTTGCAGATGGCAGGCTGTCGATATAAGATGATTTGAAGAGCCGCCGGCAGCACAACCCTGGTGAAATACGAGGGCGCTGAATAAGCCGTAAAGAAAATGAATAGTTATGGAAAGTAAGCGCTGGCTTGAAGACGCACCTTGCCTTGCGGAGATGGCGGTCCCCTTCGCCCTGCCGATGTCAGTGTGCGGATGGCCAGGTACACTCACACACACAAGGAGCGCTACACACCGCCCCGTCGCGGACGTCACTCCACGGCCGACGTCAGCCGCCCGGACCCTGCGGGGAAGCGCGTCTGCGGTGCCCCCGCCGCCTTTGTTTTGGTGGTCCCGGAGCCGTATCGTAACCTCCGAGGATACACACCTACGCAGTGCGTCACGCCGGGCTTTAAAACGAGGCACCGGGGAGGGGAGGGGGACAGACGCTTCCCTCGCATTAAAGGCGGCTTTACAGTCGTGCATTTTGCGGTATACGAGTTAATAGCCACATATTGCCCACATCCTACAGAAAGTGATTTAACCGAGATGTTTTGACGAAAAATGCATGCATGATAACAACGCCATTACACGTCAAATATAACAAATGGACAATAACAAAATGATAACAGTTCATACTGTCTGGTTAGATTACAAGCATAGCGCGACTGCTCTGAAACTGACTCCACGACAGGCTGTTTTAACAAGATCTCTGAGGAAGGTCGACTAGACCGGACGCCAGCAGACAGCCTGATGTAGGCCTCTTCCTGTACTTCAGGCGGCGCCCTAAAGGGTTCACAGCATGTCCGCGGAAGCGCGCATTAAGGAAACTAAGAATTTACCACCTACTTGTACCGATTGTATATGATCTGATTAACGCATATAACAAGGCGTGAGAAATAAATAAATAATAATAATAACAATAAAACAAAAGTAAATTGTAGAAAATATTCATATTGTAGATTAACAGGAACGACCTGACATATTCCCCAAAACTGAGATATAAATTAAAATGAAGCGTTATATGTAAATATATAATATTGTATATTAATACGCACTAGCATACGGATTTTAAGAAGCCAAACCCTGAAAATGAATAGGAGCACTTTAAAACCATGAAATATATAGTATAGCAAACCAACTATCGTGAGCTCTGCGAGCTGTTATCACGTTCTTAAATATTTTAAAGATATTATAAGTATTACGATGAAGAAACGCTTAGCCAAATTAAAATGTACTGCGACATTAAATTATTTAAAACAAAATTTGCGTAAAATAGCCTTGGCCTGTGGGCGGTGCATCAGGGAACGTTAACGTTAGTATACAGCGTGTTTGATAAAGATCTGATGCGGTTTTAAATGACAATGACAGTGAAATACAAACAAGAAATCGTTTGCTTGCTTTCAGACGCCAAATGCATAAAATAAAGTAAAAATAAAAACGAGACACTCCAAGTTCATGCCACTAAATACGTGTCCAAGTAAATCGCTGTGGTCGTTAATCTTTCCAGTATCTATTGTTTTTCCAGCGCTTCTTATGACAGACAGTGAAGCACACCTTGATCCGGAGCAGCAGACGTGACGGAACAGTCACTTCCTAGAAGTGGGTTCATTAACCGCGATCGAACCGCACTGTGTAATTACCGACCCAGCCAGACAAACACAAGCCTTTAATGTGCCGCCCGTGATTCACCTCCAAGCCCCAGCTTGCACCCCGTTGGCTTCGGAAGAAGGCCAGCGTTAATTTTGCTGACTGAAGTTTGCGTGATTCAGAAACTGGCCAAGAGGCCGACAGAGGAGCGCGCAGAGGGGGTGCGTGAGTCAGGGACCGGGGAAGAAACAAACAGTTCCGAGTGACGGACGTCTGTGTAATATACTGAAAACTTGGGAATATTAATCATTCAATAGACATGCACAGGTTTACAGTCACAAGAGCGAAACATGGGCCTTAATTGCATTTGATTTGTCTTTCACCACCTCTCCCGCCTCTGGGAAGCGGATCCAGACGGTATAACAGGTGTTATGCCGAAAAACGCATCCCTAGAGTAGAATGCATGCCGGTGTTCTGACGAGTTGAGCTTTTAGGGGGTTTTTGGGGGTTACGGTTTTAGGGGTGTTTTGGGGGTTACGGTTAGGGTTTTACGGGTTTTTTGGGGATTAGGGTTATGACTATCGATTAGCACTACGGTAGCCTAACTCGACAAAGAAGCTCAACTCGTTTCAGATCAGCGACCAATCGGTCATTTAGAGACAGGCATGCATTCTATGGCAGGGATGCCTTTTTCGGCATAACACCGGTACAATGACCGCAGACAATGTTGAAACGCATCTGCTCTTAACCGCGGGGATCGCGCAGCATTACTGGGGAGACAGTAAGTGATACGGCTCCAGACGCTTGTCAAGGGGTATTTTTAGATTACTCAATTCTTATGAATAGATTACTGGAGTGTGTACGCTTTCGTCACCATGCCTGTAGAGGAGGGACTTAAATTGGCACTGGAGTGGGAGAGATGCCAGGGAAAGCCCCCTCGGCCGATGGATAAGCTCTGTTACGGTTACTCACACACGTCTGTCCCGCATCTGGCGCGTTTACCATTAAAAAGGGAAGCTGTGAAGTACCCCGCGCATGATTCAGCGGCCTTGCCGCTTCGAGGAAATGCTAGAACACGCAGCCTTCCCAGCAAGATGCTGTCCTGGGCCCACCGGGGACCCGTCCCACTCCCTTAAGTGATAGGGATCAGTGATACAGACATGATAAGCACAACATGATGAAACGCGAGGAAAACATGATCCGGCTTTATTTAAAAGCACCGTGCAGTGTACAAATTGGCAGATGCAAATGGCCGTCTGCGGTGAGTTATTAGCATGCTACCATGGTTGAGCGCAGCAAAAACAGTGTAAGAGCATTTGTTTCTTGTAGCTAAGGAAATATCTGTCTTTTTAACGGAGATTACTGGAGAAACCATTAAACATCTTTCCCTTTAACTGGTATGAACGTGTAAGCTTTGCTCAGTAATGCATTTACAGGGCGGCTAGACCAGATAAACCACCCAAAAGCCCTGCTTATGTAACCCTCCCACCCCATCTCTGCCCTGAGAATCACATTACTCAGACACAAAGGGGGGTGGGCGGTGGGGAGACAGATTCTCCTATAATTTGGAGGATGTTACTTTTAAAATCCTCAGTGTTGCCAGGTAACCGTACATGTAAAGGAAAATAAAACATTAACAGAAGAGTACCTTAAATATGAAAAGTACAAAGATTAAATATACAGCATGAATTAAAGAGTGACGATACATTACATCCTGTTGCATGAAGTGCTCATTGACCAAATATTTTGCCTTTTTTTTACATGAGATAATGCCTTTTGGTCCACTGCAAAGGGAGAGTCCAACTACCTGTGTTTCCTAGGTGAGACGTATATACACATTATGGCAGTGCTCAGAAGCTCGGAGCCTATTGGGTCTCTGCAGCCTCCCCACCGCCATTGGCTCAAACTGTAATATCATTACATTAATCCAGCCCAGGCTCAATGCAACAAGTCTCTTTGTCCTTAGAAAACAGAGCCTGGCTAGCAAATTCAGATGCAGTAACTCCCTGACAGGCACCCTGAACCCCCCACAGGGAATAAATGTGCCACACACACACCTTCCCCTTTGTGCAGTCACACGTCCACCCTGAGTAGGTCTGATTACCCTGAATTCCCTGACATAAATTACAGCAAAGTAGACATGGTTACGGATGCCTCAGTGGAGATCACATGATCAGTTTGGCCGTTTTTCCTCGGAAGGGTAAGGCCGTTTGTGTGGATGTGGAGACAGAGATGGGTCTGGAGGAGTAGCTCACTGGTCACTATATCCTTCGGCCTCTGTCCAGCCCCCACCAGCCAGCCATCCAATCAGACACACTCCTCAGCTGACATCAGCAGAGGGTTGATGTACTCGAAGCCCTCAAACTCTGATTGGTCGATTTTCCTGAGCGTGTCACTGAAAAAGAGCCAAGAAGGGAGTGGGTCAGTGATGAAGGACGACTTTGGGCAGTCGTCAGGGCTAGGGGTCAGGGGTCACATACTCATCATCCGGTGTGAGCTGAATGGGCTCGTTGGTGAACTGCGTGTCAAAGTTGTCCAGGCCAAACTCCCCGGAGATGTTAGGCTTAAACGGTGGCATCACCTGCTTCTGGCCCATCTAGAGGTCAGCCCAGAGACATAGCAAGTTCAGGAGACTCGGTTTTTTGTTCACCAGCAAAACACCTAGGTCTGCAGTGACTGTGTTATTATGAGTAGTTATCTTAGGTCTCGTGCATTTGAGGTTGGTACGCTAGCTATTACACCCTCTAGTGTCACACTCATTACATTACAGACCTCAGGCCCAGAGTCTGGCAGTCTAATCTTTTATTAGGATTTTGATGCGGTGCCCCTATAGGCAGACGGGTGCACACAGGCAGGGAGCTGTCAGCCTTGGGGAAAAAGTGTAGAAGTAGAATCTGACCCCCATGGCTTGAGGCACTCACTAGATCCCAGTCCACATTGCGGAAGAAGGGGTGACCCATGATGTCAGCAAAGCCAGTTTGAGGATGACAGCCAAGGCGCTCTTTGGGGTCCTGGGGGTGGAGGGCAGGGATGGGGGGGGGGGGGATACAGAGACAGGGAGAGTGGAGAGAGATCATCACTAACCTGCTACAACTGCTACTGATCTCGGACAACAGTATCTGTTGAATTCGATCATCATCAATATTATCATTAAAGTTAAGCGCTTGGGAACTGATCCAGGTCAGCTTGTCACCTTGTTCAGGAAGCCCTTTAAGACACTGGCAGCCTTGACCGACAATGACCTGGGGATCCGGATCTGCTTCTCCAGGATGACTGGTGGGAACACAGAGATGGGGGTGAGTGTGACTTGCAGGGGGCCTCGCAGTGTCAGCCTCCCAGCCGACCGTGGTCCCCACCCTGGAAGAGGTAGTCCTCTGTGTTCTGGTCCGGGTTGTCGGAGCTGCCAACAATGTCGAAGGGGGACCGTCCTGCCATCATCTCGAACATGAGCACACCCAGCGCCCACCAGTCCACACTGAAGCCTGCAGTACACGCACAGGGAGACACGCGTGTAGCCATGAAAACAGCCTTGCTGTGGCAGGAATCGGCCAGTCCAAAAGCAACAAACTGGTTCAATGTTCTTAAATTGATCTTAATGGTGTGGAAATGCTCACATTAGTACACAAACACATGGACACACATATACTCACACAGACACACATGTACACACACACAAAACACACACATGGACACACGTGTCATGCCACCTACTGTAGTCCTCCCCCCTCAGGATCTCTGGCGCAATGTAATTGGGGGTCCCACAGAACGTGCTGGTGGTGTCACCAGGACGTAGCCCCTCCTGAAGCACAGCAGTGGTCAGTGTTAATGCTGAGAGACAGACACAGACTCACTTGTAGGTGGCAGACCAGCCCCCCACCCATTACCTTGCACATGCCGTAGTCTGTGAGTTTGATGTGTCCTTCAGAATCCAGCAAAACATTGTCAAGCTTCAGGTCCCTGTAGATGATCCCTCTCTCGTGCAGATAGTTCAGCGCCAGGCTGATTTCTGCTGAGTAGAACCTGACCATGAGGCAGGACCTGGCGTTAGAGACACATCCCATACCCAATCCAGGGACTGTATGCATCCAGGATTTGCCATACCCGATCCAGGTGCCGTGCGCATCTGGGATTAACCACCATACCTGATCCAGGTACTGTACATATCTGGGACAACTAGTACCCAATCGAAGTACTGCACAAATCCAGGAACAGCCTTACCTGATCTACGACTGCATTCATAGTACCCAATCCAGGCACCTAATGCATCTGGGATCGGCTGTACCCTATCCAGGTACAATATACATCTGGGACAACCCGTACCTGATCCAGGTACCATAAGCATCTTGGATCGGCCATGCTCAATCCATCATGTGGGATGAGTTGTACCTGATCCAGGGACCGTACACATCAGGGATCAGCCATACCCAATCCAGGTACTGTACACATCAGGAATGACCTGTACCGGCCCACAGAGCTCTCACCTGGCATGCTCCTCGGGGAGTTTCCTCTGACGCTGCATGTGGAACATCAGATCTCCACCGTTCACGTACTCAATGACGAAGAAGAGCCTGGGTGACAGTCACAGGTGGTTAGGGAGCACGGAGCCGGCATGTGACTTCGTCTGCGTGTCTATAACAGAATGACAGAGCTGCCAGCACAGACATCCCAGGGACAGTGTACACATACATACCTGCTCTCAGTCTGGAAGCAGGAGTGCAGCCCCACCAGGAAGGGGTGGTTGGAGGCCTGCTCGAAGACGTGCTTCTCCGTCTGAACCCAGTCGATGTCCTGTGTTTGGGGGAGTCATCACAGAAACACGGCACTCAGTCACCAGCCGGCCACAAGTGCCGTTTCTGGGTGTAAAACGTTTCTGGATGAGCAGGTGTGTGAGAGAGGGAGGGGAGGGAGAGGGAAATGTGGAAGCCGTGAGAGAAAGCACAGCTGTGAGAGGTGATTGGCTGTGTGATTTGAAGCTGTGAGAGGTGATTGGCTGTGTGATTTGAAGCTGTGAGAGGTGATTGGCTGTGTGATTTGAAGCTATGAGAGGTGATTGGCTGTATGGTCTGAAGCTAAGAGTCAGTGACATTGGAGCTTCTTGCCTCGTCGTCGTTGACCAGCTCCTTCTTCACCACCTTCATGGCGTAGATGCGCTCTGTCCTTTTCAGCTTCACCAGCAGCACCTTGGCATAGCTCCCGCGCCCGATAACACGCAGCAGGTCGAAATGTGCCAGCCCCAGGCTAGAGGGTGCCTTCCTGATGTCCCGGCTGCTACCCGCCGCCTGGAGAGGCAACGACAGATAGGCAGCTAAGGAACACTGGGACTCCTGATCACCTTTCTGTTCCCTATCTCAGGGAAGGGCATGGCCATCTTTAGCTGGCCAGTCGGTGTCCTTGGCTTGAGCGAAGAGCCAATCTGGTTATGGCAGAGCAAGCGAGGTGTCTCAGGAGAGAAGGAGGAATCCACTCACCTCCTTGTCCTCTGGGGGATTCAGACTCTCACTGGATGACTTCAGCAGAGGGCCTGCAGGGAGACACAGAGGGGGGCGGGGGTTTGGTTACGATCACTATGGTATCAAGACAAACTCTACACACAGCACCCAATCAGTGACCAGGAACACAGGCTTGACCTCTGACCACATTGTGACCCTCTTTCTCTGTCTCTCTCTCTCACACACAAACACACACATGGAGTACCTGGCTCAAGCTGCTCAGATGATAAGGGTGCGGGTTCCAATGGACCAATGACTGGATCCTAAGACATAAAACGAAAGCACAATCCCTTTCACAGTCCTCACAGATTGTAAAAGACACTGTCCATTTTCACAAACATGAAGCAACAATTCTCTCTGGCACACAAACTCACCCGGACCATCAGTCGACCGCACTCGACTGTGACCAGCTTGTGGCAGCGCTTGTGCACCAGCAGCTTGCACGTGACACACTTGTAACCCTGTCGACCAAGGCCCCATATACGGTCCGTGCAGATGGCGCAGTGGGCCCTCTGCACAAAGAGATACACACAGCAGGAAGGAGTCAGCATGTTGACCAATCAAAGAATACAGAGAGCAACAGTAGGGAAAAGTCAGCATGCCAACCAATCAGGGAGTAGAGAGAGACACACAGCTGGGAGGAGTTAGCATGTTGACCAATCAGGAAGTATAAAAAGAGAAACGTAATGGAGGAGTCAGCATTAAGACCAATCAGAGTACAGAGACAGACACAGCCAAGAGGAGTCAGCAAGCTAACGAATTAGCCTTCTAAAATCAAATAAAATCAAGTAAATTAGGCTCTTTACTGCTGGAAACCCCTGGATCAAAGCTGAGGTGACCAAATCCAGCCTAGGGTGTGTATGAAGGCTCCAGACTCCTCAACAGACCCCCCATGTCACGTGGAACACCGGAGACCAGAATACCCTGTTAAATCTTTTGGCCTGGAAGGTATGTCCATTGGCACAGTACAGCTTCCTCCAGCGTCTGGCTCCACGCCGGTAAATGGACTCTGGGAAATGGGGAGAAAGAGAGAGAGGGACAGAGATTAAGAGATTTCCTCAGACGCGGCCACACATCAGAACACCTGACGCACACGCACACACACACACACACACACACACACACACAAAGTCCAGTATTAATATCTTTATGGGGATTCTCCAATCATTTCTATGGGGGAAAACCCTAATCCCAGCTATAACAACATTAACCCCTACCCAGCCCAAGCTTAACCATAAGTAACTAAACAAAATACATTTGGCATTCGTAGTTTTTTGACTGTATTTCTTGTAGGGACAGAAACAATGTCCCCACAAGCTAAAAAGTTGTAAGTTTTTATCACACTAAAGGGAAACCTGGTCCCCACAATGTAATAATTATTAAACCATAGAACACACACACACATATGCAGAGCACACACATACCTGTATACACACACATATGCAGAACACACACATATACACACACATACACACACACACACACATCCAATATGCACCTTACTGAGGGAATCACAAAGATGGAGGCATCAACAGAATATCCTTCCCCACCTCCCCAGCGGCAAATGGACGTGAAAGAACAAGACTAAACAAACGCCAGGAACCAAAACAGTCGACTTGATGGCACCTAGCGGGCGGCGGCCATGGGCAGTTTAACCCTTCAGACTCCCTGCTTCCTACGTTTAAAGGAGGAGCCGAGTTTATGAGGGTACTCACTGTCCTCTCCTGGGCACGGCATGCCTGGCTTCTCAGGGACACAGGGGAAGACTGCGGGGACACAGCCAGTGGTACAATCAGGCAGCAAGGCAACAAGTCACAGGATGACAGTGTCAGAGAAATCAATCAGTTCTACAGTGATGTGAAAGTAACGTGACAATGTAATATAGTGTAATGTAACAGCGTAATGTACACAGAGTAATGTAGCGATGTAACACCGTAATACAGCAAAGTAATATAACAATATAACAACAAAATGCAACAGCAAAATGCAACACAGTAATGTAATAATATACCAGTAGAATGAAGTGGAGTAAGGGCCGGTTTATACTCTAGTATGAAACGTGTGCATTTATGTGTGCTGTCGCTACGCAAGCAATGTTGCCACTCATACTTGCACATGTAGTTTATGTCAGTCTGGAGGATTAAAAGTTATGTCGACCAGGGGGCAGTGCGAGAAAACCATTGAGGCTGGCTCCTTCGCTTCTGGTCTCACTTGTTTGTATGAGGTTGTGGCATGAAATGTTGTACATTCTCTGCCTCCACTGCAAGTTGCTAATTTTATAATACTGCTACAGCATTCTTTATATTCTAACCACTGACCCACGTCGTATGTATGACTCTGTCATGTATTGCTTTACTACCTCATGTTCAATGTTGCATTATTTGTTGTTAGATATCTCATAGCAGTTAGTATTTCATACTTAGTATTATGGCTGCATGATATTGGGAAAAAATGTGATAGATTTGCAATATTTATAAAGCAAAAATAAATTCAAAATAAATCAATTTCTCACAAACACATCTGAGTGATTTAAATGGCTGAAGGATGAAAATGATTATGATTGGCTCAGAGAACGCATGCAGCACTCATGTAAAAGAAGTGGCAGTAAAATTTTAACTAACGTTAAAAATAAAAAAAGTTTTGTTTCCTATATCAATATAAGTATTCTAGCAAAAATAACCCTCCCCCCCTCCCCGATTTTGCCAAATTTTATCACCTAGATTTCTAAATAACTGAACTGTATTGAAAATGCTGTACACAGATTCACACAATAGTGCTCAGAATATTTTTTCTCTTGCATCTGAAAATATTCAGTTTTGAATATCTTCCAGCCACTCATTCTTAAAAAATAATCAGATCCTATTTTTATACTAACTGTACCATATATAAACACATATTCCTGCAACAAAAGGTGACCATACTGTCCCCAAGATTTTCTATGGTAGTGCAAGTTGCGTACATCTAGGGTTAACTCCTTGCATAGGTGCACGGACAACGCATAGGAACATAAGAACATAAGATATTTACAAATGAGAGGAGGCCATTCGGCCCATCAAGCTCATTTGGGGAGAACTTAACCAATAGTCAGAGTTGTTAAAATCTTATCTAGCTCTGATTTAAAGGAACCCAAAGTTTTACCTTGTACTACACTAACAGAAAGCCTACTCCATACTCTAACTACACGCTGTGTAAAGAAGTGCTTTCTCAAATTCATTTTAAAATGTTCTCCCGCTAATTTCCACTTCCACTCCCGCTAATGGCCACAAGTTCTAGTATTTAAACTAATATTGAAGTAGCCATTTGGCTGAACATCATCCAGACCTGTTAGAATCTTATATACCTGGATCATGTCCCCCCTTAGTCTCCTTTGCTCGAGGCTAAACAGATTCAGCTCAGCTAACCTCTCCTTATGAGACATTCCTCTAAGACCAGGAATCATTCTCGTAGCCCTCCGTTGCACCTTTTCTAAGGCAGCAATGTCCTTTTTAAGGTATGGTGACCAAACCTGCACGCAGTATTCTAGTTGGGGTCTTACCAAGGAATCATAGCATCACCTCCTTTGCCTTAAACTCCACACACCTAGAGGTGTAACCCAACATCCTACTGGCATTTTTAATTGCTTCCCCACACTGGCGAGAGTGGGACATGGAAGCATCAACATACACACAGAGGTCTTTCTCATAATCAGCTACCTTTATTTCAGTGCAACCCATAAAATATCAGTACTTCATATTTCTGCTCCCTGCATGGATTAGCTTACATTTATGTTAAATTTCATCTGTTAGGTATCAGCCCAGCCGAGTCAAGATCCCATTGTAGCCTCTGTGCTGCATGGAATCAACACGGAAAATGCATTGTGACCACGATGCGTACACAAATGCGTTGTGAGCATTGAGTATAAACCAGCCCTAATGCAACAATGTAACAGCAAAATGTAGCAATGTAGTTTAACAATATAAAGCAAAGTCACTCCCCCTGTGCTAGTCCTGTGTCCCAGTGGCGGGGAGGGGGGGGGGGGTCTCACCGTGGACTGTGAGCTCAGAGTCCTTGTTAAGCTCGTAGAGCCGCAGCGCCTCCTCCAGCTCCATCTGGGAGGAGACAGTGCAGGGGTCTCCTGCAACATACACAGGCGACACCATCAGATCGACTGGCGCTTTCTGCTTTTCAGGACACAGCACCCCCTGCTGTTCCACAGGCACATTGCACCTTCCTCACCCTCCTCATCAATCCACTTCATGGTGAAGGGCTGCTCACTCTCCATGGAGCACATCTCACGCATTCGGTCCTGCAGGCCCTCGTAGGAGATGGACGGCTCCAGTTGCGTGATCATGATGTCTCTGGGGAGGGAGAGGCACATCACAGCTTGCTTCTCTGCACACCCCTGAGAGTGGAGGTGCAATTCTAACTCTCAACAATTGGTGCAAAATAGCAAACATTACGTTTTCAGAATCTTCTGGAAGGGGATGTTGCTTGGCCTACCAGAAAGACATCCTCAGCTGAGGCTAAAAGGTCTCCACGTCAGATTGTTTTTACCCGAAGCGGCTCACAGGCCATTAAACACCTACCCAGCTGGATGTGCACCTCTGGAAGTGGCTCCCTGGATACAGTTCAGAGCCACACAGGGCTTAAAACTGTGACTCAGCTTCAGATGCCGTTAACAACCTAGTGGGAGTCCTTAACCAGGACGCCCCCTACCTGCAAGTCGAAGCAAGCACATGTAGGGGTCGGTTAGCCTTACCCCCAGCCATGGCAGGCCAGAGCAGAGTGAAATCACTCAGAACCAGCTCTCTGGTCACCAGCCGTCTTGCTTATTTATCTGCACTCTGATTTCTGATAGGGTAACCGTCTTTACCAGCAGCCATGGGTTGAGTAACAAGGTCATCTGTTGGGGGCGGGGCCTGCAGGTTGACACATTTCTGAAGGCATTTTAACCCTGAGCTTTTGTGATAGCTCCCCCGGCATTGTTCTGGAATGTGCCATCACTGGGGTCAATCCGCCAGCCCAGCCGTATAAAAGAACCAGCGCGTGCGGCTTCGGGACTCGAGTCAGCCGGCCTGCCCCGGGCGCGTGCCATCTGTCGGGGTCAGGTCCCTGTCGTCACGGGAGACGGCCGCCAAGCCACCAGCTGGCTCCGGATTACAACTGATGCCAGTGGCCCACTGGGGGGCGCTCTTCCGAAATGCCAGATAGTGGCTCCTGCTGATTTCTCGAGTCCCGAGCCAACCAAGAATGGGGCCAGACGTGGCTGAATGGGGACAACAACGGTGGGATTGTTTTCACATGACAAACACAAAGCCTAATAATGAAGCTGTGTGGCAGCCCGGTACATGGTAGGTTCCCAACCCACCAATTACCCGTAGATGTGTGGATTATTATGAGCAGTGAACTTCAAACTGGAAACACACATTTTACTTCAGACACCCAGAGAAAAAGCAGCAGTGACAGTGTGGCCCAGCTGGGCATTTTACTGCCAGCCGCTGTTCCAAAGCGCAGCTCTTAATGAAATGCCGTTCAAGTCTCGCCTGCACCCCCCCAAAGCTGCACAAAGTCGATCATCCATCTGCCCCATGATGACTCACACTCTGCCCCTGAATCGCCCCCCCCTCACCCCGCTGCCAGGGTGTACAATCTGCCAAACAAGGTGCTATTCCTAAATTTGTAGCAACAGGTGTTTGGCTCTGTAGAAGGTGACGCTGCAAGTGCCTGGGTGGGTGGGGAGCCGCAATGTATTCTGGTTAGACAACAAAGTCACAACGGTGAGAGGGTGACCAATTAGCAGACAGAGGTGGAGAGGGAGGGATGGGGATGGGAAGAGAGAGAGAGCGAGAGAGACTAGCTGTCATCGCTCCTCACGTCGCAGCAAAACGTGATGAAGCAACATGTCACAAGGGAACCCGAGCTCCCGGGAGTGCGGGAAGGGCGGGGCACCAGCATCGGTGCCGGCAAGTACAGGCAGCGCGAGGCGGAGCGTCACGTGGGAAAAGGCTCCCGAGCCCGACCACAGCAGGGATTTGCATTTTGCTTCAGCTGTGAATGAGGCATCACGGACGCTGGAAAGGCCTCACCCGGAGGAACATTCCAGAACGGGTGGCATGCGGGGTGGCCTCTGCCTGCGGGGGGGCGCCGTGAAGAGGCAAAGATCAACCGATCCCCACATGCTCGCACGCAAGCATGCATGCACACGCGCGCACACATACACACACACACAGCTCAATAATATTTAAAGAGCTGAAACATATCAGATGCAAACATTCCTAAATTACTTCTACAACAAATAAACTATATTAACAGACAGTATATCAAAATCGATCCTGGGTACCTGATGCTAACAGTGTGTTTCACAGTTGTGCTTCTGGGAGCAGAAGTACATACAGTACATAGATGAATGATTCTTTACCAAATTGTTGTTTGTAAATTATCTGACTTAGGCCTACTTAGGTCTATTATTCAAAGCTAGCCTAATTAACATAAATTACTTTAAAATTCTACTGGCATGTTGGCAGTGGGTAAGGACATTATTAAAAAGTTTGTGAGAATATTTCAAATTTTTAAAATGCATTTTAAAGACCACAGTACGATTGTCTCACAGTCATATAGAGCTCAGAACAGGTTCGACAATAACGCAAGTCCAAACAAGAAAACATGAACATCCAAACCACAAAAATGGTAAATTGGATCAAAAGTGAATTCCCAAATCTGGGAAGCAGGAGCAGCCCGGATGGGTTAGCTCTGTCACCTCTCGCTGCAAGGGCTGCAAGCTCAAATGCTACCACTGATCGCTGTGTATGGAGTTTGCGAGGTTCCCTGTTACACTCCAACGACATGCAGTTTGCCAAACTGTGTGTGTGAACTGTGTGTGTGTAGGTAAACTATAGTTTGTAAAGACACAGTTAAAGCTGTCAGCTCCGTAGTTAGCCACGTGCTTCTTAAACTGAGCAGAGTCGCAGGCAGCCCTGAATGTCAGCCTGGTGTTTAGACAGCAAACCTGCACCGGACACGTACCGTGCCCTGGTAACCGATACCCTGTTTCTGCCGTCGTTATTGTCTGCTGCTGATATTCCTCTGTTAAGTTACTCTTAAATGGCAGCCTGCGGGAGGCTCGCGCATAAGCGCCTCATTGTCCCCAGTATGTATGACAATAAACTTGAACTTGATCTTACAAGTGGCCTCTCCTGTGTGCAAAGGCAGGGTGAGGCTCCGATCGCACCTACGGCACTACATAACAAGCACACTAAAGAGGAAAATCTATATCCCATCATAAAAGTGTGAGTTATTCGAAACCCAACCAGGAAAAGTTGGCGGTAGCCGGGATTGTTTTTGTCGCGCCGCGGGGGATGCCGCAACACGGCATCTCGGGGGCTCTCAGCCCCTCCAGGCAAAGTTCTCCTGCGCCCGACAGCAAAGTACAGCCTGCTTAAAAACACCGGTTCCGGACGCCGGATCGAGCACCTACCCCTGGTAGAAGGCTTTCACGCGGACTTGGTGAGCACTGTCGCCAGGATGGGACATCGTGCTGTCCCGCAGCGTAGGCATCGCGGGTCGCCGCGAATCCCCGATTACTTCTCTTCTTCGCAATTTGTCCGGTGCCTACCGTTTCCTTACACCGGCTGGAAGCTGACCGTATAGCCGACGGATCCCATCAAAGTCAGCGCGGACCCCTGCGGCTGCTAGGTGCGCCGATCCCGAGACGCTCCCAAAAGTACAAGGAGCGGAGCACAAAGGGGGTGGAGCATCGACAAAACGCTCACAAACGCAATGGACGCTACAGGCATTATCGCCGGTCACTCCTCGTCAAAGCCGACCACCAGCCTGCCATGCCGTTTAAAGGTATGAAAAGGAATACGACGCGATGAAACGTATCTTAAAATCCGACTTTAAAAATACTGCACTTCTGCATTCCGATCATACCAAATCAAGCATAGGTAGGATGAGCAGTCTCCTCAATATTTATATAGCGAAGTAAAACAATATGTGCCCATCTGTTACACTGATGATAATACACAATAAGGTATAGTTTAATTCGTTCTCAGTAGCCCTTTCAGCAGTGCTTTTATTCAAATTATATTTGGGAGAAAAATAAGAACACCCCTTTGCGAATGGAATATCCTGAGCCAAGAAATTCTGGTTAGTCTGCTGTGTGTAAATTCCTAATAACGACCGTCGCAACTGCCGGGCACTGCGTGGTTGCAATTGGACGGGCAGTGGCACTTTATAGTAAGGGGTTTATCAGCAATGTGGTGGTAATGTATCTAACAGTATAATGCATCTGTGTAAATACGGATTTTATACAATCTGAGGCTCATAATTTGAGAATCATAATTTTCAGAGCTCATTATTATGTACTTAATACTGGGTACATTACTCATCTTATTACATACTGAACATGCTGCACAGTCATTTAGGAATGTTCTAAATGCATTAATCTCAATTTCACTTTGGTTAGAACTACTTTGTATAGACATTTGGAGTACATATAATTAGGCTATAACATTTACAGTTTGTAACATTATCACTCTATGCTCATACTTCCATATTTAGCTTAATGTTTATTTTTTTTTGTATCGTTCTTGGAGCAAACATCAAGGGAATTTTTTTTGCAAGTGTGACCTTCAGAAATTAAAAAAACTTATTTTTGACACAATCTCATGTAGTTAAGAAAGATTATTTTAGAAAGATTTAGTGAAAGCATACAATGTTATATTATGTTTGGTATCTTTAACAAAAATACTCAAATTAAATTATTGTCTACATTCCCATATACGATTTTATTCGCTTTTATTTATTTTTTTAGCTATGACGTATTTACGTGGACTACTGCAGGGTGCTGCCAAACCAAATATTGCCTAATTATTACCTGAAGGAATTATGACGTGATGTTACAGCTGACAATTAACTGTTTTGTCTACTCTGTTCTGTTGTCTCAGATCATCTAATCAACGGTGAGCCGCGTATTACGCAACATAAATGACATTGCATGCCATTTAAAATGTAGAAACTTTACAAACTGAAAACCATGCTGAATGTGTGATGACTCACACTAAAGCATTTTCACTTAAAAAAAGACAAATCAAAAGTGAAACTTTCCAGGGGTACTGACTGGCGTAGGTCAATACGGCATCGCTGCCTTCCTGTTTAATCGTGCCTGCTGCTGAAAGCCGAAGTGACTCTGAACTCTGAAGTTAATATTATTGCATAATAAACAAACAGTGAAGACTTTATTCCGATACTCAATAAAAGAGTGCGTAATAAGATTTTGCCGTTGCGGTTGTGCTACCTTTTTCTGTCTTCTGATCATCGGCATCTCTTGCTATTGCGTGTTTCTACTTCCTCTGGGGTCAAATTTTCTCCAGAAATAAGAAAATGATTAAATTCCCGTTTTATTTCCACCGAGTCCTTTACTTTCTTGGTTCATTTCAGATGCACCCGTTAGCCCTGCTATGTCTTATTAATGTTAGGAGCTGATTTATACTCCAAGATTATTTCTTAGAAATTCTGGTTCACTCTTCCTCATGCATGTCGACTGTTTGCAGCGTTACGTTCAGTTAGCAAAATATGAAGAAATTAGAATTCATTGTCTAAATATAACTGAGCTAACATCCACTAGAGGGCAGTACGGGCGTTGTGCAAACAGTGCACCCAGATTAAAATGATAGTAGTAAACAGTACTGTGAAGTAGATGATCATTTTTTGTCAGTTTTCCTTGCTATTATTTTTATCTTCAATATAATTTACTTTCACAATAATATGCAAAATATTGCAGCATACTGGTAAATAAAAACATCCCGGAATGCCATCCATCCATACTTCCATCCATCCATTCACCATCTGCCACTTGTCCAGGTCAGGGTTTCAGAGGCTGCAGCCTAAGCAGTGTTACACAGACCTCCCTCTCCACAGCCAACACCTCCATCTCCTCCACTGGATTTCCAAGGCGTTCCTGGGCCAGCTGAGAGATATAATCTCTCCAGCCTGTCCTGGATCTGCCCCAGGGCCTCCTCCCAGTTGGACATGCCCGAAACACCTCCCCAGGGAGCTATCCAGGAGGCATCCTAGATAGATGCCCAAACCCCCTCATCTGGCTCCTTTTGATGCAGAGGAGCAGCGTCTCTACTCAGTACTCCTCCTGAATGTCTGAGCTCCTCACCCTGTCTGTAAGGCTGAGCCAAGACACCCTGCAGAGGAAACTCATTACTGCTGCTTGTATCTGTGATCTCATTCTTTCTGTAACTTTAGGTGAGGGTAATATTATTAATAATAATAAATACTTTATTAATCCCCATGGAGAAATTGTCTTTACGCCTCCCCCAACTTGCTCTTTGTGGAGTAAGTTGTCCGCAATGGGCTGCCACCCGTAGTGGTGCTCAGGGAGCTGGGGGTTAAGGGCCTTATTTAAGGATCCGCAAACCTGCTGAGGCTGGGATTGAACCGGCGACCTTCTGATTACAGGCACACAGGCTTAGCCCACTGATTATTTGGGGCAGCGTAGGAATGTAGATTGACTGGTAAATCAATAGCTTTGCCTTCTGGTTCTGATCTCCCGCTCCTTTCTTTCCTTGAGGCAGTCATCCCCTACCAGTAGAGGGCAATTCACCCTTTTCCAGTCGAGAACATTGCCTCAGACCTGGAGGTGCTGATCCTCATCCCAGCCGCTACACACTCAGCCACAATCTGCCCCAGTGTATGCTGCAGGTCGCAGCCCAGTGCAGCCAACAGGACCACAACATGTGCAAAAAGCAAAGACCACCGATCCAGACCCCCTCCACGTCTTGGCTATGCCTAGAAATTCTGCCCACAAAGGTTATGAACAAAATCGGTGACAAAGGGCAGCCCTGGCAGTGTCCAACGCCCACTGGGAACGAGTCTGACTTACTGCTTGCAATGTGAACCAGACTATTGCTCCATTTATACAGGTACACGATGGTGTGTAACAGTGAACCCATACCCCATACTCCTGAAGCACCCCCCCCATAGGACCCCCCAATGGATATGATCTTATGCCTTTTCTTAGTCCACCAAACACAAGACTGGTTGGGCAAACTCCCATGAACCCTCCAATGTCCTTGTGAGGGTGAAGAGCTGGTCCAGCGTTCCATGACCAGGATGGAATCATTATTGTTCCTTCTGGATCCGAGATTAGACCAAGGGGCAGGCCCTCCTCTCCAGTACCCCAGCATAAACCTTCCCAGGGGGGCTGAGGAGTGTGATCCCCCTGAAGATGGAACACATCTTCTGGTCTGCTTTCTTAAACATTGGGACCCCAGTGTTCCAATCCAAAGGCACTGCCTCAAACCTCCACGCAATGTCAGCCCTCATTGTTGAAATGCTTTTGCATTTGTCTGTTTGTTTGTTATTTGCTCTTTTCTTTTTTTGAGATCAGTTGTTCCTGATTACTACTGGCATACAGATTCTGTCGCCGTTAGTAGATGGAGGGGGAGCATCTCACTCTCTCTTCTCGGTTGGGTTCATTTGGTGCTGGGAGCCATTCTGGAGATGCATTTGGTTCCTCTGAACAAATCTTCATCGCTGAGCTGCCATTCGTTTTATTTGAGCAATCTGATAAATTTCTGTATGTGCATTTGCCTTAAGTCATGTGTTTATTTCCCTCAATTAATAAAACTCCCTTTCGTGGAGGGGGGGAGGGGTTACAACTGCTCTCAGTATCCCTCTTTCTTTGCTATGAACCCTGAGCCAGTTCCTAACAGCCCTGGAGATGAGTAAGTCCCCGTTTATGTCTTCCAGCTCTACTTTCTCCCAGGAAAGCGTGTCAGTGAGATTCAGGAAATCCTCAACGTATTCTTTCCACTGTCTGTCTATATCCCCAGTTGAGGTCAATAGCTCCCCTTCCCTGCTGTAAACAGCATGGGTAAAGCCCTGCTTCCCCTCCTGAGTTGCCTGACAATTTATCAGAATGTTTTCCAGGCCGACCGAAAGTCCTTCTCCATGGCCTCACCGACCCGCTCAGCATCTGCCAAAGTCACATTCCGCTTGGCCTGCTGGTACCTGTCCACTGCTTCAGGAGGTCCACAAGCTAACCAAGCTTGGAAGGCGTCCTTCTTCAGCCTGATGGCTCCCTTTACCGCTGATGTCCACCACTGGGTTCGGGGATTGCCACCACGACAGGCACCAACAACCTTCTGGCCACAGCTCCGCACTGCCGCCTCAGCAATGGAGTCCTGGAACATGGCCCATTCAGACTCAATATCCCCAGACTCCCTTGGGATGCAGGAGAATTTCTGCTGCAGATACGAGTTGAAGATGCTCCGAGCAAATCCTCACTATGAGTTTGGGTCTACCAGACCTACCGGGCACCTTCCCCGCCATCGGATCCAATTCACCACCAGGTGATGATCAGCTGGCAGCTCAACTCCTCTCTTTGCCCAAGTGTCCAAAAGACGCAGATGTAGGTCCAATAATACAATTACAAAAATTGATCATCAAACTCGGCCCAGGGTGCTCTGATGCCAGGTGTGCTTATGAACACCTTTATGCTTGGTGTTCATTATGGACAAACTGTGATTAGCACAGAAGTCCAATAACAGAGTACTGCTCGGGTTCAGTCCGGGCAGGCCGTTCCTCCCAATCACACCCTTCCAGATTTCACTCTTGCTACCCGTGTGAGCGTTAAAGCCCCCCAGCAGAACAGTGGAGTCCTTAGAGGGGGTGCCTTCCAGCACCCCACCCAAGGTCTTCTAGAACAGGGGTGGCCAATCTTACCCGCAAAGGGCCGGTGTGTATGCAGGTCTTTGGGATAACCTGTAGGTCAGCTGTTCAAACCCAGGTGTGAGGACTCTTCAGCCAATCAGTCCTCTAATTAGTAATCTGATTAAGGAGGTGCAGCGAAAACCCGGATACACACCGGCCCATTTGTGGATAAGATTGGCCACCCCTGTCCTAGAACGTTGGATACACTGAGCTGGTGTTCAGTACATAAGCACAGATAACAGTTAGAGCCCGTCCCCCAACTCAAAGTCAAAGGGAGGCAACCCTCTCTTTTACTGGGGTGAAATACAGGCACTGAACTGGGGCTATAAGTAGACCCACTCCTGCCTGACGCCTCTCAACATGGGCATCTCCAGAGTGGAATAGAGTCCAGCCCCTATGCAGAAGTTTGGTAATTGGCAATTGCCTCCGACATCACAGCTCCTAGGATCATAGAGGCACACAAACCCCCCCACCATGGTAATATGCCGATTCATGGATGGGCATCCTAGAATGCAGAATACATAATATCGTAAATTACTATATAGTATTTATAAAGGACTGATTATTATTATTAATAATAATAATAATAATAATATATTTTGGACTTTATTTGTAAACAAAGTAGGCTTATAAGTTATGCAGGCATATATGTTATCTGCAATGTCGTTTTGACAGTCACAGTGATTTCAGCACTTCTGATCCGCATTTGTTTGTTTTCTGCATTATGCGCTACTGATATAGTCAGAATTCACTTCTTAACATCAGGGAATTAATGCTAGGAGCTTTGCCTCCGATCTTATGTCAATCGGAGCTGGGTTTTAAACTTCCTGAGGGAGACTGGAGTGGCTGCCGGCCACCCCGGCACTCTGCACAGGTGGGGGAAGGGAGGACAATGTACCCCCTTCCCAGCCATCTATACATCTAATGTGTTCTCTCTCTGCAATAAAATAGAAAAAGTCAGCCTCCTTTTACAGTCTGATCAGGAACATGTGCCTGTGAGTGTCACGACATGAGAGCCAGGAAGCGGACCCCCAGGATTGTGTCGGACCCACCCCACCGGGCCCATTCCCTCTTTGGGCAGCTCCCCTCTGGCTGCAGGGTCTGCTCAATCAGCACCAGGACCACAAGGCACTTTAATAGTTATTTTCTGAAGGCCATAAACCTTCTCAATAATCTTGCAGGAACACTACAATAGATCGTGTTACATTCATACAGTTAATCCCATTTTTCTGTTCTATTTATTGTCACTGCCTTTTTGTTTATTGTTGTTGCTGTTTATTTAATGTTGTTTTTTACCTTTTTGATTACCTATTTTTAACCTTTTTAATACTTAATCTCAATTTCTACTGCGCTGTATCACCAGGTCCAATTCCTGTGCACTCTCTGCATTTGGAGTGATGACTGTGAAAACCAAGAAACCAAGATAGAACAGAAGTACCAACCGAAGCTAGAACTCTGCAGTTACGCTTTCTGTCTGACTCGGCTTTCCAGTATACAAATACAGTGTTTTTTACGTACAGCTGTGATCTTTGAAAGGATATCTTACGATAAATCCCCCCCCCATAGGATGTCAGAATTGCCCTGGGCAGTGTGTCCTGAAATAGGACCATGATCACCAAGGAAAAAAAGCTCTGTGAAAGTTTACAGTTAAACCTTAATTATTCATAGTTCTAATATGAAGTTTACATTTTGACCATGAATGTTTTATAGCAGAACTGCAAACTCTGGTTTTACCTTGATGTTCATGGTCACCTCTTCAAATATTTCATAATTCTAAAGTGAAGTTTACAGGTCAACTGTGAACACGTAGTTGAACTATGAAGTTCACTTTTGACAGTTTTTTACAGTCATCTTAGTCATGACGTTTACAGTTAAACTATGAATATTTCCCTGTTAAACTGTGAAGTTAGGTTCTGATAAGTGAAGATCATTTATACCATGGAAAAGATGATGGTAATATTGTCCACTCAGTTTTAAATCATGGTATATGAAGGTATAACGAACAGGACTAGCAACTTCACTGTTACAGGGACTATTAGACTGATGGTGAATCTGACTGCAAAGTTCAAAGTGGAACCCTGAACTGTCCATAGCTTAACTGTAAACTGGTAAAATTCATAGTCAGAAGGTTTACAGTTTGACTGTAGACTTCACAGTAGAACCATGAAAAGTGTGTCAATTTACTGTAAAAATTCATGGCCAAACTTTGAAAGTACCTAATAAAACAGTCAAACAAGTTGACAGTGCACAGTGCTTTCCGGGGCACCTTCGGCTTCCCTGCTCTTGTGGCTCCTTTCTCGCCCCCAGCATTATCGGCGAGACACTCATCACTGTGCACTTTGTCTCGATTTTGGCCCCATGTCCCCCGGCAGGTGTCTGCTGCACTTCCCAGCCGAGGATTCGTAGGGTTATTTAATCTCTGCCTTTCTTATTCTCGCTACTGAAGTCCTCCATTTCGCTTCATTCAGCTCAGGCTTCTTTGTCTTTCCGCTCGACATGCTTCTGTTTAAAATGATTGCTTGTTTTATAGCTACGTTCATGATAACTGAAGGCACATGCCTACTGGTCGTGTCAGCATCTGCCGTCAGTTGTTCTCATTATTTCCTTATTTCACGCGACATACGCTTTGGCAACATCGCATTTATTTCACCCCTGACAGCACAAATTATTTCCTGTCACGTTTCCATTAAGCGACGACACTTCTTCACCACTAAACGCTCAGCCAATTTAACATACACTTCTAACAAGCTGATCCAATTACTGGTAACTGGTTAAGGTTAAACTTGCTTACTCTGTAGGGAGCGTAGTTTTACACTCACGCATAAATCATATGCATATACTGCACGTCCATGAAAGTCCAGTACAGATAACCCATCTATCCCACTTAGGAAATTATATTTTAATGGACTGAAAGAGTGTCAATATGATTTATGCACAAATACATTATGGCAAATGTCAGATGCATACAATGAAAGTAAATAAGGGGTCAGTTGGAATGAGTGTTGACTCACTCGCACTTACGCTAAAATTTAAATAGGTACAGCTAAAACAGATCAGTCATCTGATCGTGACGTAGCATAAAGCATTTATATTCATTTTAGCGGATTGTACAGTCTGTTGATCCCCCAGGAAACCAATGTGATTCTGTAAAAGCTAATAAATATGCTCATTAACAGCCTTCCTGTTCCCACTTCCTGAAACATAACCAAATAATTATAACCAGAATCAGCACTGGGAAGGTGAATTAGCTCCTTGTCATTATTTTTTTCTTTGCATAGTGCAGCCTGATCATCTGCATCTACGGGGCTGGTTTCTAAACACAGCAGCATGTGTGCCAGCCGTGGGCCAAATGTAATGGCCACAAAAAACTTAAAATAACGTAATAAAACTAATATGATGTAGGCTATAATTATTTATAGGCCTAAGTGTGAATACATTTCGGCAACATATAAATTAATTATTTTGAGACCGCAAAGTGGAACTAATTTAATGTTTCATTGTTATTTTTAGGTACAGGCCTTTGTCGTTACAAAACTGTGCTTTTCTGGATGCCTCAGAAAACAGGTGTAATGTTAGTTTATTTCTGAATAACGACTGGAAAAGAAAACCTGTTTCATGAACTAATGAACTTTTAAGTAATGAATGCACGGAACACATGAAAACGAGATAAAATCTTAGTGGGATAACTGCACAAACCACTTCCCGTTGCCAATGGCTGCTCCAAACAGTGCTACGCTACCCCACCTTGCTCTTTAAAACCGCACGACTGATGGGGGGGGGGGGGGGGGGGTCAGCACTATGCTGCACCCCGTCCTTGCCGGCAGCAGGTGGCGCCTCGGTGAAAGTAACGGCATGTAATTATTATTAATCATGGTTAGGTTATCTACGTCAGGGCCCGTCAGTCTTACAGGCAACGTCAGCGGCCGCCAACTTCACTGCCAAATTCTGAGGGGCGCCGACTTGCCAGCCGATTTCACGTTGGCGTGGACGGGGGTGCCAGCGGTGATGCTCGCCTAGGGCACCACATCGACTAGGACCGGTACTGCGCAAAGTAATACGTGGTCGATACAAGGAAGTAAATGCTTAATGGAAAAAGCTGTTTACATGAAAGTGGAACCAACATAAACGTCGGCACTGAAGAAAACGGAGCTAGACGGTGAGTAAAAACATTCATGAAGCGCCGGTTCTCGTGGGTCAGTGCATTAGTGATTGTACGACCTGGCAAACAGCATGTCAGGCAGTTGCGGCATTACGGTTTGCTCCGGACCCGTTCAGCAAACAGGGTGCTGCCGGGTTCGAGAGGCGTATTTGGCCATCAAACGGTGCTTATGCGTCTCTGTATCGCGCTGCCCCAGCCGCTTGCAAAGAGCCTGTGGTTAACAGCACTTTTCTGAGCAGGAAAGCCTCCTATAGTGATGGAGCTTGGGTGGGGGGTGAAAAGCGAGACCATGCCCCCCTCCCCCACCCAGCCTGGGCTTTACGTTGCCCGATTGACACCCACGCACTGGCCCTCTCACACAGACACGCACCCCCTGTTTCCCGTAATACCGCCAGCCTGACCGATCCTCTCCTTCTCTGACCCCCTCCCCCCACATCTATGACTCTTTCTGCCTTGCCCAGTCTGTGGGGGGCGTGCAACTGTGGGCAGTGGTGGCTTGATGGTTAGGGTAGCGCACTTGTAATTGAAAGATTCCCCCACCAGTAAGTCACCACTGAGGTACCCTGAGCAAGGTACCGTCCCCAAGCACTGCTCCCCGGGCGCTGAATTAGCTGCCCCCTGCTATGTCACGAAAGTCACATATGGGTCAAATGCAGAGGACACATTTCGTTGTTGCGCACTGTGTGCTGTGGTGTGTTGACACTGATCACTTAATTCTAAATTCATGGGGCTGCTTTCTGTACGTATTTCCGTACTGTAGTTTTGCTGTGAATCACCCCCCTCCCGTAGGCCCCTCTGCCGGGAAACCACAGCTGACCTCTTTCTCAGGCTGCCTTCAGCTCTTCATATTTCCTGTCTTTCTCTGTGCTGTTTGGTCTTGTGCATGACCCCTCCCCCCCCAGCTTGGACTGTAGCCATGCAGGTGTGTGTGTGTGTCTATGTGGGCAAAGTCAGCCATCAACCCCCAATGCTGTGGGAAGCCCTGCCCCCCATCCCTCCCTAGCCAATGGGAGCAGCCCCTGCATGTCCAGTGGTCTATCGCCCTTGATATATGTCCCCGCCCTCATCCCTCCCTAGCCAATGGGAGCAGCCCCTGCATGTCCAGTGGTCTATCGCCCTTGATATATGTCCCCGCCCCCATCCCTCCCTGGCCAATGGGAGCAGCCCCAACAGGTCCAGCATTCCCCCTGTTCCTGCTCACTTGGCCTGGGAGTTTCTCTCTCCATCTTGACCATCTTTCCATTCCTTTCTTTCCTTCATTCATGCTTTTATGCCCAGCTTTCTGCTCATTTTCTCCCTCCCCCCTCTCTATCTGTCTTCCTCCTTCATCAGTCTCTCTCTCTCTCTCTCTCTCTCTCTCTCACTCTCTCTCCTCTGCTAACCCTGCACTTGAACTCTTTCACAGTGCCACACACCCGGGTCTCACACGGTGTGAGAAGCTTGGCGGCGCCGGCCAGACCATGGAAGAGCTCAAGGTGAGCAACCCTTCCACCCCAGACACCTCGGGGCATAGGGCAGTACCAGGGGGCCCCCAAGGGCTCCCAAACAGCTGAGAAGGAGCCGCAAACACTGAGAGAGTGCACTAGCCATAGCAGTAGCATTGATGGTCTGCCAAAGTGTGTCGAGGTTGGGGTGGGTGGGTTGGCGGTATGCAGCGTAGTGAGGGGCTTCGATCCCAAGCTCTGAGGCAGAGGGGCACTCTCGGTCCTAAAGTGCGTCAGTCCTGAAGCGCATTGTGCGGGGGGTCCGTGCTGATGAAAGTGTTTGCACATGGGCTGGGGGGGCGGGGGCAGGGGGTTGCAAACCCCACCTCTCTCCCTGTTCCAATCGATCCTTCCTCTTGCGCTGACTCCCCCCCCCCCGAACCTACTTTCATCACCGAAGCAGCAGCCCAGAGGTTTGGCAACATGGTATCCCAGAATACCCTGCTGCCAGGACACCACTCAGCTGCCAGCTGTGTGTCGAGATGGTAAGGAGTGCAGGGTTAAAGGTCATGGGGGTAACAGGGGAAACACCAGGCGAGGCTTAATCAGCTATGCATTTAGGTACAGTTACACATCCTTTGATTCGGTATCAGTGCAGTGGCAGGTGGTTGCTGGGTTAAAAGGTCTAGTTGTCCTCAAAGCCCTGGACCGGACTGTATCTCCTGGGGAGAGGGGAAGCAGTTAGCCGGCTTCACCCGCCCCCCCACATTGAGAGTGAAACTGAGTCATTGCAATTCCTGCACTGTCTGTAACTGCCACTGGGCCAGAGATACATGCGGCTCACTCAGCCTGTGACTCCGCCATCTTTACTTTCCACTGCGAGTACAAAAATACTTCCAACCACAACATTCTGTTCCTGTGGTTGTGCTGCACAAACAGCGTGCAGCTGCGAGCTTGTGAGCAGGAGGCCATGCATTCAAGGGCCGTGCGTAGGAGCGGGAGGCCGTGCATGCGAGCGGGAGGCCGTGCATGCGAGCGGGAGGCCGTGCATGCGAGCGGGAGGTTGTGCATGCAGGCAAGAGGCCTTGCATTCAAGGCCCGTGCATGCGAGCAGCTGTACAGCACAGAGTATTCAATGTCTCCCAGCAAGCAGACAGCCAAAACAGCTCTGGGCTCTCGGCTGCCCAGGATGGAAGTGACTCCTGACGCATGATGTGTAGGTCAATTGCTCACGATCTGATTCTCCAAGGTCCCTCCTCGACATCTGGGAGTCACTCAGATCCCGCGCATCTGGAATTGCACTGAGAACCTTGTTTAGTATTCAACTAGCCAGTGAGTGACTTAACGGAATAAAACACAGGATTATGTTGTAATTTGCACAGCTACTGACATCACAAGCTCCTTCATTACTATTCGCTGCCACAGGGCTGTGGGTTTGAATGGCGCCCCCACTCTACCTGCACGAGGTAAGCGACACCAGCAGCGTGCATTTAGGTCCACAGGTGTCTCAAGGCCAGAAAGTGTGAGTGTATGACAAACTGCTTTACAGTACCAAGACTCCATGTGCAGCCAGCTTCCTGTGTGCGTGTGTATTTCTGTCTCTTGTTGCAGCCACATTTCAGTGGTGTTACATATGGGCCACATGCAAGGACATGCAGTCAGGGGCCAAATCGCATTTAGGCCCGTTTCCAAGAAGCAGAGTATCTGTGCAGATGCTTTTATGTGTCACCAAAATAGCAGCCGAGTCGCCCGATATGCCACCTGACCTCCGCTGCCTCTCTCTCTGCCGCCCCCACAGCTGGTTCTCAGTCCCACTGCACCCCCCCAACCAGACCGGCCTGCTGTCTCCACTGCCCCCACACAGGTGAGCTAGGCACTGGGGGGGGGCAGTGAGGTGACAGGATGCTTATTGCAGGATGTTCATTGCATGTGATGACAGGTTTGATTTGGTTTGTTCCCAGGGGGCTGTCTTCGTTACTGCGTGTGGCTGTTTATACCCCCTGACAAACCCACTGTCCCCCCCTGCCCCGCAGGTTCCGACTGTGACTCTCCACGCTCCACAGGCTCTGCCGATCAGAACTACGCCCCCATCAATCAAAGTCACGCCCCCCTATGTTAAAGTCACACCCCCGCCATACAGACCCATGCCCCCCCAGCGCATCCCTGGTGACCCTGCGGCCCCTCGCCCCCCCTCCTTGCACCAGCTGCCCATCGCACCGGCGCCCAGTGAGTGAAACTGCCGTTGGGGTTGTTGTTACATCAATAAGAGGCTTAATTACAGTTTAAAGGTGATACATTCTATATTCAGCCAAGATCCACATGTTCTTTAACAGCCCACCTACTTGTAGATTATAAAGGTCTCTTTGTACAAAGGTGTAGAGTATTATAATCAATAATATTTGGGACTTGAACCCAAGGCCCTCGGGTCATGAGACCGGCTACGTGGGGAACATGCTCTGCCTACCTGCCTCATCCTCCATTGCTCTTTCAGCTCTTTACTCTTCAGTCCAGTCCCGCCCGTTGATCAAGCACATGCTGCAGTACCGACCACTACCCAAGGGGGCACCAAACCCACTCATAATCCCAAAGCCTATCAGTATCCAGCGGAGAGTCTCAGCCAAGACCATTCTCCAGAGTGCAGGACAAAAGGCCAACCAGCAGTGTCTGCTCATTGGGGGCCCTGCAACCCTGGCAGCACCCATCACGACGACCCCGGCGCCAGTCCAATCACAGTACAGCACCACCCCCGTCCCCTCCATAGCCCTCCCACTGGTGCTGACCTCTACTCCATTGCAGACACAGTGCAATCCCAGATCACCAGTTCATCCTCCGCCAAGCGTGTCCCAGACACCTGTCGCTGACCCCTCCCTAGGTCCTTTCCAATCACAGCCCACCACTACAGCAGAAGCTCCCCCCACTCCTCTCCAGGGATCTGCCCAGCTTTCACTCTGTAACCCCGCCCAGAAGCCCGCTTCCCCAAGCCCCCCGGCTCCATCCCCTGTCAGAGTCTCCCACTCCCCATCCCCGCCCCCTGTGTCCGAGGTGACGGCCACCCCCTCCCCGCCTCCTCCCCCTTCCCAGTCCAGCCCCAGTCCCTCGACGACCCTGAAGGCCCTGCAGCTGCTGAAAGCACTGGTGCAGGAGTCCGAGCTGATCCCCAAGAGGAGAGCGCCAGACCTGGAGGACGAGCCCGAGCCACCAGTGAAGATCCAGAGCCCTCCCCCAAGTCTTCCTCCGTCTCCATGCCACGTCGGGGGCCCGCAGATCCCAGCAGCTGAGCTGGAGCAGACCCTCAGGGTGAGTGAGCGACTCCATTCAAAAAGTTACTTGAGATATTTCAAAAGCTAAACAAACAGTGAGCCAGTTGGGTAGCACCAGATAGTCAGCTGGTCAGCATCTCATAAATAAGTATTCACTGTATAGTGACTGTTTGTGGCTAACAGGGGGCCCCCGACAACATCAGTGGCCCAGACTCAGGACAAGAGGGGCTTCACATTCAGCATGTCCCCCCCTCGCAGGATTGCCAGGCTGGACACAAGGAGCTTTGTGCAGAGGAGTCGGTGGAAGGCAGCAATGCCCCCCCCTTGGCCAGTGCAGGGTCAGATGGACCCAGGGAAGACCTCCCCAACCCCTCAGGTGGGGCATCAACCGGGGTCCGGCACTCGTCCCCACAGCTGAGAAGCCCCCCCAATGCTGTCCTCTGTCTGTCCGGCTCTCCAGCTGCTCCCTGCATACCTTGCATGAACTCAGACGCTAGCAGCCCCCCCGTGGAGCGGCCCGTGAGCCCCCTGTATCCAGACAGCACACCCTACCCTCTCCGGCACACGCCAGTGAGGTGTGCCAGCCAATCCCCCACTGCCAGCCTCCCCGGGGGCCCCGAGAGGGAGTCCCCGCAGGCCGTCGTCAGGCCCCAGATCCTCACCCACCTTGTGGAGGGCTTTGTCATCCAGGAGGGCCTAGAACCTTTCCCGGTATGTCTTCTGGGGGGAAGCACCACAGAATTCACACAAAAACAATGATCAAGAACTGAAGAATATAGCTAAATATTAGTTATTAGTTAATATTTAACCTTTCAGGGGGTGGTGGCCAGTTCTGACCTGCTATCCATCCCCTTAGGTGTCCCGCTCGTCCCTGATGGTTGACCAGCTGGCCCAGGAGGCAGCCGACAACTACCCAGGTGACCCGCCAATGGACGTGGATGAAGTGGAGAACTCGGATGTGGATAGCGCTGCCACAGATGGTGAGCCAAGCCCAACAACCGCTAGCAAATTGCCGGAGGCTGCATAGTGGGTGATGACGCAGCAGTCAGCTAACCAGGCTGCACGGTCACCCACAGACCTGGACAAGCTGCTGTGTGAGTTCTGTGGCAAGCGGGGGCCCTCACACTCCTTCCTGCGCTCCCAACGATTCTGCTCCCTGCAGTGCGTCCGAGGGTAAGGCCCACCCCCCACACAGTTTCGCCTAAGTTAAGCACAAGTTAAGCAGGGCTTAGCTCACTCCCCATTAGATTAAGCTGATCACAAGCCAGTACCCACAATGCATCTCACTTACTGAGCTTTAAGTCAAGTGGGTGGAGTTATGAACCCCTCCCACATAGACTCCCTACACGCCTTGCCCCCCTACCCACAGGTTCAACATGGCATATTCCAAGCGCATGAACGCGCTAAAGGCCAAGAAGATGGGCCGCTGGACATCACGCACAGAGGGGAGGCGCAGCCGCCAGCCCAACACGCCGGAGGGAGGCCACGGAGAGCGCTACCATCAGGTCAGCGTCATCTCTTGTTGTCTGTGAACGTGGTGAGCATCCAGTTACTAAACTGCTGTCCTCGTCTCCTGTCACAGGCACCTAACCAGTACGGTGCCACCAGCCCGTTTCCAAAGGAGGCCACGGCAGAGGAAGTAGAGAAGACGTCCATCCCAATGACAACAAGACTGCGTCGCCAGGTGGAACGTCGGCCATTGCGCGCAAGGGCCAAGTCAGCTCCTGATTGGGTCGACAGATCAGCACTGGCTGCCCCGACCGGCAGCCCTGGCCTGTGGACCGTGGACCAAGTGTGGGCCTTCATACGCTCCATGCCAGGTGGAGTACCCCGGACATCGTGGACCTAAACCTAATGCGAACATTAATGCTAATGCTAGCCCTAATCCTAATGCTAATACTAACCCTGATGCTAAAACCAGGAGCACAGGAGAGATTTTTAAAGAGGGACCAAACAGTAAACAAAAGGTATCAACTCTTAGGTATATCCAGCCATGCTTGATGAGGTGTTCAGCGTGATTTAATATACTAAACATTTTGACTGACACTGGCCGGCATACATACAATGTTACAGTGTTGTCTGGTATGGAATTGTTACCCAGAAATGGCCTATTAGACAGTAGCATAAACAACAGGTTTTTCTACAATTTGCTGTGTTTAAATTGACTGAGCCCCAGTATACTGTAATGTTACACATTATGTGAGGGCAAATTCATAGATTTATAGCTTTATTCTAATAGACATAGTTTAACATTAAGTCAAACTTGGATGAATTTGTTTTCTTAGTTGCAGTAACATAAATTAGCCTATCACAGAAATGGGAAATTTATGTAGACAGTTGCATCCAACAAAGGCCTGGTATAGGTTAAGCTATTATACAATCTACGTCTAATTGCATTGGTTACTATTTGAAAGAACACTGTGACAGATCTTTGCTTTAGTTCCATGTGAACAAAACTGCTTTCGGCACAATTTAAGGCAGCTCAGTTCTCAATTTGTTCAGGGCCCAAAACCCCCAACAGCATGTGCGAAGTCACAAATTGGGCAAGTACATATGTTTTTGAATAAAATGTTTTAGAAAGTGCCATCCGTGTTTGAGGTATTTATCCTCATCGGCAAATCAGTAGGTCATTGTGGAAGTGAAAAATGTTAAGAGCCATGTATAAGCTAATAGGAATGTGTGCATTTTACTCTGGCTACCTACAAACAAGATAAAGGCAGACAATAAGAACGTGTGTGCACAGGCACGGGGATGGGGATGCGTATGCGTGTATAGGCACAGGGATTCATGTCTGTGTACAGGCACGTGGTTGCGTATGGGTGTATAGGCACATGGATGCGTATGTGTGTACAGGCACATGGTTGCGTATGTGTGTATAGGCACAGGGATGCATGTCTGTGTACAGGCACGTGGTTGCGAATGCGTGTACAGGCACAGGGATGCATGACTGTGTACAGGCACGCGGATGCGTATGGGCGTATAGGCACAGGGATGCATGTCTGTGTA